ATTGAGTCCAGTCTGTAAGTGTCCATGTGAATGAACAGAAGCCTATGACTGCTGTGTTGTGTGCATGGAAACACACATTCTGTGGTATTTCAGTGAAAGTGAATGAGGGAAAGTCAGCTCACACTGCAGGAGACACACTAAACTGACTGCAGCTGTGCTTTCTCTGAGGTTTCAGCCAACCAACCAGGAATGACGGCTGTTTTTGAGAAAAGTATTCAAAGATATTTATATCTTTGCTCCAGTTGAGACCGTTGTCATTGAATATGATGATGGGTGTGAGAGTCTCCCAGACAGGGAGACAATTTTTCTCTCTATAACACCACTATTTGTTGCTTGACGATTATTTTGGCACATCACAGGCTCAGTTTGTCAGAGTCAACATTACGTGGTGAGAGTTGTATACTATAATCAGTCCGACCTGTGCTTTGTCAGGCTTCCTTGACGTACGTCAGAGTCAGCTGTAGGCCTCCTTCATCAGCCTCAGCTGTTGTTTTGCTTGGTGAAACCATTGAGTGGTAATGAGAGAGTAAGAGTACTGTTGAGGCCTTCTTCGACAACCCTTCAAACAAAGTAAATAAAGCAATAATCTTTATATTGTACTAAAATAGTCAATTTTTAAAAGTAATTGCTTATTCTGTAATTAGCATAAATTAACGGTTTGTGGTGTATTAGACATAAATTGGTACAAAGTTTGTTGTGAAGTTTCAGTATCTTTAGTTTAGTTGTATTTTGAGCTGTGCAACCCTTGTACAATAGCATGGTCTGCAGTATACTGCTTTGTACTTAAATGTGCTTTGACAAGGGTAACTCCAACAGCAACTCTGGATTTCCAAGGATTTACATCTGTTGCATTGTGGGACAAAAGTGCTTACATGTATTCAATTGTGATCATACTATGCTCTTAACAATACTTATTTGGTAATAGTGTGTACGTTACTACCAGGTCATACCTGTGTGAGATGGTAGTAATTAATATTGTTCCATTGCCTTAGCTCAGCCTCTGTTGGTGCTGGAGGGACTTCTGACAGCAGGTCTTGGTTCCTGGCAGTGCTTAGTGAGCGGACAGAGAGGCGTCAATACTGTGCTGCCCGGAGCACTGTATCAAAGTTGTACAGCCCAGCTTAATCCGCTCCATTAGGATTTTTGTGTCTGGAGCCCTTTTACACTCACAGCATGGTCCTTGTTTTTGCAGCAGTGCAGTTGTCTCGGGGTGGGGAGAGTTTCAGCGTTGGTGGCTGCAGCTGTGCCCTCTCTCAGCTCAGTGAAACCAGAGAGGACTGGCCCTGCAGGCCTGTAAACCGCAGGCACAGACACACTGTCAACAGCCATGCAGCCACTGGAGACATCTGACAGGCTTCCTCCATCAAACAACTCTTTTGAAAGGAAGCTAACCAGGAGACACAAGTCTTACCTTCCTGGCCTCTTCAGATTCATCAAGCAGCTGGAGTATTAAAGTTGCCATCATGTATTGAACTCGCCAGCTGTTTCTGTACCATTAAGGAAGTTGACCAGACATACTTAGTGTGAGTGCATTGACAAATCCTACAAATCGCTCCAGAGATTCAACTGGTAGATTTAATTTCAAACAGTGTACATGAGGTTTGGTCATTTCAATGTTTAAACACATTATCAAGGACTGGAGACAGGCAGAAAACCTGCTCCAGATTGCATGCGACCTGAGACTGAGATATCGGTCACTACTGTCCTCGAATGGTCCAGCTAAAGCTCGTATTTAAACCCCATACGATATCTGTGGAGAAAACAGAACTGTAGCAATTCAATTTCTGACCAATATCTTGTGAACTATGAGGCACAGGGTCTAGAAAATCTTGAAATGTTGTTGGATGGTGTGGAGTGTGCACTGGGCTGTTCACTGGGTAGACAGAGAAATATGTTCTGCTCAATGGCCATGAGAAACACACAGGGAATGAGGTGTATAGGACACACACAAGGATTTGGTTTTCTGTGTCCCAAGGTAAACTTCTTCAATCCTGCATCATGGACTGGCAGGTCTCTCTCTACCAGAGGATGATATACAGATAAAATTATTTCAACAACATTTTATTTTGAATTAAAGCAAATGTCCTGACGTTCCCAAAGACAGCAAGTGTGTTTTTTCAGAATCCAGTGTTTTTTCCACTAAAAGTAGATGATCTCTGATTTCTTAACAAAGGGCGGAGACTTTGCTCCTCAGACAGAAACTGTCTTGTCTCATTTAGGTCATCCTTGTAATTAAGCTTTGGAATAGCTGAATAACAACAGAATGCGTGCAACCACCAATATCTTACTGGAGTTCTGTCAAAATAAAGTATCACAGCTGTGTTAAAGAGAACTGACCGTTGTCATGTTTGTAGGACCACACCAGCCAGAGAAGATAGATTGGATGCTGTTGATTATATGACCCAGATTTGTTTTATTCAAACATTTATGTTACTAAACTAAAGGCACCACTTTGGAAATTGAAGGTTCCCATTGAAATTGTATGTGACTAATGTGCTTGGTGGTGAAAGAATGCTGCAATTTGCAAAGCCTGTGGGTCCTCTAGAATTTTCATTCTAACCAGATTGCGCAAACAAGTGCTAAGAATGTGAATGTGGAAACTTAAAGTATAAAAAACAGACGATAACATGTTTTCAATCTTTAGTTTTTGTAAAAGTCTGACTGCAGGTTAGCTTAAAGGCTCAGTGTGTAGAATATGGGACATCTAGTGGTGAAGTTTCATGCTGCAGTTGAATACCCCTCACCTCGCCCTCCCCTTCAAAACATGAGTGAGAACTTGTGGTAGCCTCAGTTTTCATAAAAAGTCAAAAGCTTTAGTTTGTTCAGTTTGGGCTACTGTGAAAAAACATGGCGGCCTCTGTAGAGAGGACCCACTCCTGATGTAAATATAAAGTATTTCAATATAAAGGGATGATTCTAGTGTAAAGAAAACAACAATTCAAACAATTCAGATCAAACACACTAGTGAAAATATTACTTGAATTATTTCATATTCAATTTCTGCCGATAGGTCCTTTCACCTTAATCTTGCACTGAACCTTTAAGTCAGCACATACAGCATGTGTATTATTCTGCACACAAACCAGTGGCATGGAGTCAGAATGTGATGACCTCAGACTGTGACTTTGATAGTAATGACTCATCACCTCACTTGGGCTGAAAGCTCAAAGATTAACACTAACACAATGAAATCACTTAGGAAAGGTTTAGCAGGTATAGTATTGACCATGCTCACCGTGATGATATAGTGTTATAGTTTGCTAGCATAGCACTGAAGGGATTTAATTATTTTTGCAGGCATCATGAACCAAAGTATCAATAAAAGTAGCTTTGACCTGTCGATGATGTGAAAAAAAAAGTCATTAGAATATTAATCTTGACTGTCCATCCAATTGCTGTTGGTCATATGTTGATTTGGGACCTGAGAACAGACTGAAGGAAAAGGAGTACAGCTAATGACGCAGGTCCACCGTCTGACAGCAGCCTATCGCCTTGCAGTAACAGACCAACAGACAAACAACAGATGATACCTCAGATGATCTCATTAAATCGGTGACTATTTGATCTCTTACAGTCACAAGTTTGTTGCCAAAAGGCCAAAGGAAGCATGGCTGTTGTCTGATGATCTGTGCTCCCTGCACTCCAAATATTAAGTGTGAAAGGGGCACCACTCTAAATTACTGGAACTTTGCAAATGGTATTTTTATAGTTAAATAAGACCAACAAAGTGACCAGTGTTGTCTGATGATCTCGCTGTAATCAGTGTTTCTCCCACTTCAACTTTCATTCAGATCATATCAATAATTTCACTTTATCTGCTGAATAGTTGTGAATCAGGAGTGTGTGCTGAAGTCAACTTAAGTGTCATCAGATGTTACTTCAGTGTGTCAGATACAAGTTCAGTTAATATTCCATATGTTCAGCTGTTCATCTCATTTTCAGTTAATTGGTAAAGATTATTAATGTTAACTACATTTTAACCCTGAAGCTCAAAACTGTACACATCCCATCTTCAAGGTTTTATTATTTCTGGTTTTCTGTTACAATGTTGAATTCAAACTAGATTCAAGGAAAACATGATCATTTWCTTTTATGAATTTTATAAAATATATTTAAAAATAATAAATCTAGATTTTTTTTAAGTCCTCATTGTTAGTGTCAATTCATAACTGCGGCAGACGCAGAACACATTGTCTGATGTTTTTATAAATTATTTATCTATTTACCATTGTTTGACTACTCAATGCTAACAGTTAACTTGTGTCTTCTCCTGTTTTAGGGTGCAGCTCTTACAGAGATGGCTGTGTTACTGTGCTGCGACAGGACACTTCTGTTGGCTGTGGTCGTTTGTTTTCTGCCTCGCATCACTTCCTCCCTCAATTTGGAGGATCCCAACGTCTGCAGCCACTGGGAGAGGTCTGTCACAATGCTACTGTCTCAATGTCATTTTCTGTCTAAAAGCTCTTTGACATCACATTTCCATCAATTTCTGTTACCGGGGTAACTGATTCCGCAGGCCACACAACTGGCGGAGCAGATCAGGCCATATGAGCGAACCACAGGTTGCATTCAGAGCGACCATAGGCCTGTGTGAAAAAACACAGCACTCGTCGTTACTGTAATGTAACCAGTCCATCAGTGCAGCAGGGCCGTTTATTCAGGGGGCTCTGAAAACTACAATGCAGGTCGTCAAGCTCGACATTTGCTGCAGCACAATGCGCTATCTTTAAGTAAAGTGTGGTGGACAATCACATTTAATACATGTACATGTACTGGTACATTCCAGGTTGATTTCTTTTTAATGTGAGATCTTAATTCCTGCTGTTTACTTTGCAAATAACACAAGTTGGTTGAAAACTTGACAGATTTGTAAAACTTTGTCTTTAAGAGCTTCACACACTATTAAAACTTACAACTGGAATCACTAATAGGTTCAGTGTATAAGATTTAGGTAGAAGGGAACTATTTCATGTAGAATAATCCTTGTGAATTGTAGTTTTCTTTACCCCAGAAAAGGCCCTTTATATTTGAATACTTGAGGCCGCCATGTTTGTTACATTAGTCCAGACTGGACAAACTAATCACCTTTTGAGTTTTAATGACAACTGAAGCTACCACAGGTTCTTTTTCATGTTTGAAACGAGAGGGTGAGGTGAGGGGTGTTCAGCTGTAACATGCAACTTCAGCACTAGATATCACAAAATTCTATACACTGTACCTTCAAACAATACACTGTCACTACGACAGGCGCTTGTTTTAGCACAGGGCTGTATTCAGTCTGAATCCCTGCTGAAGATGAAGTCAGGAACTAGCATAGCTCAACATAATAGGAAACCAGCTGGCTCTGTGAAAGCCTCAAAATACTCCAACATTTAAACCCCTTTCACAGTGGATGGCAATCCACTAACATCTGGCTTTAGTTTTCAATGTCAGAGGGTACAATTCACTTCATTGTCTAATGTTTAATGCAGCAGTCACTGGTATTTATCAGCTCCAGCCCCAGTTGGCAGAGATGGAAACATGACACTCAGGTGGACACACTAATTCTCACCCTCTTTTCCTGGCACGATACGAAGCCTCATGGAGGCAAGGTAGGGTTGTTGCCTCCTCCTGTGGGAACTTTGTCACTTCTGCTGTCTGTAAATTCAACCGATCAGTCGTTCATTCAGTGCTTAAATGAAGACTGAGCTAAAAGACATGGAAAAGCAGCAAAGTTACTGTTATACTGGGAAAAAAAGTTAATGAAGCTCACTCATTTACACACTGTCTCTGATTTGTTTAAACAAGTATTAAACAAAGTGTTAATTCAGTAAATGTACACCCTGGTGTTAGACTAACCTCAGTTTGTCAAAGACATGACTCGTTTTTTTTCCAAATAAAAGTGTTAAAAAGGTGAAGTGAGGCTCTTGACAAACTTTCAAATTAAAAAGAAGCTTGGAAATCCATTAAGTGAAATGTAAAAGAACAAAGGTAGAAGCAGATTTCCCAGCTAGATTATCTTTCAGCAGCTAATCTGAGGAAACAGCTGCGGACGCAGTCAAAGCGCTCCTCTGTTGTTATTGTCCCGAAGACTGACGGCAGAGAAAGATTCAGAGAGAGACAAGAGAGGGACAGAGGACTGCTAAGACCTACAGTGTTGATGATAATGATGTGGCTTCATAGGAAACTCTCACACCCGGTTTTAATATCCATCTCTACTGATTTGATCATAAGTGGTGAGCCAGGTGTCATTTCATATATATATAAATATATATATATATARTGTATATATATATATATATATATATATATATATATATATATATACAAATTTAAGCATGTGCATCATATTGACTTTACAGATGAGAGAGAGAGAGATTTTACTCATTTCAAATAGTTAAAGACATTTAAATACAATGTCAATATCAATGGTAGTGGCCATAAATAAATGTCCCTATGGGAAACAGAAAGATATTTACACCAGCTCTGATCAGGGTCTCAGTAAAGTAAACTGACTTGCTGTTCCTTCAATGAACAATGCTCATTTTTGAAAATGTTATGTCAGTCAGAGAAATCAGAAAGATATGCTTATTGATACAGTAATTATACAGTAGAATATAGTAAAACGTTATGAGAAAAGTACTGTGAATCAAAGTGAAAAAAAGTTAGTTAGAGAAGGCTGAGAAGAACAGATATATGATACGCTATTCTTCCTTAAATAATAAGGAAGAAAAACATCCCAACAGTGACTATTGTTGAGAAAGGTAAATGTGAATGAGTGGTGAACATCAGTTAGTAGTCAGTGCAGGTCATTGAACGTGGCTCATGTGTGGGGGTGAAGTTAGACTGGGTTTATCATAATTAAACGGTCTGCTGAGATTTGATGTGGTGAAGCTTCGGCCTTAGAGGAAAATATTGGTTGGCTCAGTATTGGTTGGGGCCAAGGTTGGTTGGTTTTGAGTCTGACTTGACTCTTGCTTTTATGTAATAATGGTTGATCAGGTTTTTGGGGTGTAGAAAATGTGTCGGTGACAATCCTTAATACATGATGTTCAGTGTTGCTTCCTATCATTTCTGAAGTGTTTTGGCAGATTTAATAAACTATGTGAAGACAACACTTTTCATGCTTTGTCACAAAGGGTAAAGTAAATACATCCATAAATCTTGTCTTGTCTGAACGACCACATTCAAGTGCTTAACACTACAGTTATAAGTCACTCACACACTCATACAGAGCTTCTCTACCACACAAACTCTCTGGGGTGGCTGTGGCCTGCGTGTGAATGAGTAAATGTAAAACTGTAAAGCACTTTGTGTGGTCATCAAGACTAGATAAGCATTATATAAATACAGACCATTTACCAAATACAAACAATCAAGTGATCAAATCACTGACCATCTGACACACACACACACACACACGCACAGACACACACACTGATGTTTCTCTCTTCTCTTCCTGTGGTTTCAGTTACTCAGTGACGGTGCAGGAGTCGTACGCCCACCCTTTTGACCAGATTTATTACACCAGCTGCACCGACATCCTAAACTGGTTCAAGTGCACCAGACACAGGTAAGGACGACATCACTGAGGCCTGAAGCAACAGTGTGTAGTGGAGAGAATGGTGTTTTTTATAGGATCATACCACTGTACTATAGCAGCGCACTTTCCCCATCTGTCAACCATTTTACAAACCTTATCACAATGTTTTCACCACCCGTCCACTTGAGACTTGTTTGACTCTGAAAAACCATCACAGTGATATTTTAGTTTTGTCAAGCTTATAATATTGATAGACCAATCAGTCTACATTCATAAGTACATAACCATACAGTGAGAACAAACCAAAGTAAAAGACTGATAAAACTGTAGTTTGGTAGAAATTCTCATCACACAAGTCCATTTATTCTGGGGCTTATGTAGTAGAGTATGTTGCAGCCACTGCACATGCTATATTGTGCCATGTGACAAGTAGCATGGTCCTGAGCTTCCCTTAAAATATGATCACAACCACTATCAACTGCCATTGCAACTATATTTGTATGTAATGTCATCAGTTGCAGCGCTGACATTCAGTCAGACAACTATTAAATACCCTGCATGTGTTCAGACTCTACATGTACATGCTGAACACTCCGTCAACTCCACTTGAAGAATCAAATGAAGTCTAATAAAACATGTCATCCATACATTCTGCTCTCACAAAGATAATAATGTGTACTCTTCAATTATTTAATTCGAATCTGATCTTTATTTATGGTTTTGTACTTATGTACTTTTGTACCCATATTGAGAATTTGTATAATTTCAGTAATGCGCCCCAGTTAAAACGACAACATCAGTAATAAACATGTGGTTTAATACTAGATTTTAATCAGTTATGTAACCAGGTGGATTATGTTCAAATGTTTTAAGTAGATGGGGTGATAAACACTGCAGAAACAAATTATTCACGCATTATTCAAGCAAGGTAAGAAGCCACTGTTAATTATTAACTATATTCAGTTTTCTTTTACAGCTTGCGAGGTGCTCTGTATTAAATGCACTTGCTTAGTTATGCATGATTTAGTTAAATAATAAAGATCTCATCAATTAATCAAATTATATTTGTAGAGCCCATATTCACAAATCACAATTTATCTCACACAACCTTACAGGATGTGACATCCTCTGCCCTTCAGACTCATAGAGAGCCACTTGTGAGGAAGGACTGAAGTGAAATAGATGCTGGGTGTAGTGTCAAGTTTCAAGTCCAAGTTATCATCTTTGTGGGAGACGATGTACCTAATTTTTGCAATGTTATGACGTTGAAAAAAGGCAGTCCGTGAATTTTTTTATAAATGTGAATCAAAGGTTTAAGTCTGGATCAAGATAACTCCTAGATTCAAGATAACTCCTAGATTCTGCAAAGTTTCTCCTGGTTTCATAGATAAGTATAACTGGGTATTGTCTGCATAGCAATAAACATCTCCTGATAATGTTCCCTAATGGAGGCTGATATGAGGTTAATAAAACTGGTCCCAACACAGAATCCTTGGGAAACCTGTGATTATTTTAAGTGTGCACAGATGACTAATTCAAGATACAGTCAAAAGATGGATGACACTTGGTTCCATGAATAGACTTTTCACTCCGCATTTGAAATGAACATCAAATAAGCAACACTGTGTGTATGCAGGTCCTTTTACTGAGTGTGTGACCCTGTGTGTCTCTGTGCAGGGTGAGCTATCGTACAGCATATCGCAGAGGAGAGAAAACCATGTACCGGAGAAAATCCCAATGCTGCCCGGGTTTTTATGAGAATGGAGAGATCTGTGCCCGTGAGTAATTCTCTCTGTCTCTCTCTCTCTCTCTCTCTCTCAATTAAGACCATATAAAAATTGTGTTTTGCTAATCTTTGTTATCATCATAAATATATGGGAGCAATATTCATTATGGTTAAGAAACATTTGTTTTTTAGCACCTGGACTATTCAAAAATGCCAGAAAAGATAGCCAGCAAAACTAATAAATGAGGTAATTATAAAAGGACTGTAGTTTTGATGAACTGAGTCATTTTGAGACACGTTACAGATTCAAAGACAGAAACCTGAATGAATGAGTAGAGTAATACAACCAACTCACAATGCAGGTTTCTGAATGTGTTGATGAGAGTCATGACCTCCACAGTGACAACAGCTGAACACCAACACGAGTGCAGAGCTCGTTCTTAACCTGCCTGCTTGGAATGGGCTGTTCGCGTGTCCTGTGTTAAAGCTCTGGAGTTACTTCAGAATTATTCCTTGACATTAGTGAGTCCTCCTCAAATAGTTCTAAAATGTAGTGTCACTTTTTTACAGTAAGTGTGCTGGACATTGTGTGCAGTCTACCCTGCAGAGTGTTAGAGTTAGAGTTACAGTTAGAACATTTTGTGTTCATCATACCTGGTTTACCTTCAATGTTTTTCATAAAATGTTAATGTTATATTATTGTTAACATGTGTGGTTTATACATACGTTGAATGGTAAACTAAACTGGTTTTATTTTTAATACATTACATGCTGGCTAATTCAGAGGTCTGTTAAGCAACTGACACAATCTTTGTACCTAAGTTCCCAACTTTTCCAAATAAAAGCTCTTTAATTCAGCTTGATGTGAAGCATTGCAGCAACAAAACACCATTGTGTTTTTACTCGGAAGACAAATTGCCAAACAGGATGTGTTTCTTTAAATGTTTTGGCCTTGATGGAGATCAGCACCAGTGACACCCGTCAATGTATAATATCGTTATTGCTGGCAGGCCAGTTTTGGTCAGGTGCTAACCTCTGCTGTAGTTTATCCAAGGATGTTGTAGGAGACATGTTCAACTCAGTCTGCAGGCTGAAGGCACGCTGCCCCAACCCCTTCTGCTCTGTTTGCCTGTTTATACAAAATTTAATTTGATATTGAACATATTGTTTTGAATTGCATCAACTGCAACTTGCAACACTGAACTTACATGGGCCCTTGACAATCTGTGTCAAGTGTGAGGCAGATAAAGGGTTTTCAAAGTGTGTTTCACATACAGACAGTCAGGCAGACATTTGTGAAATCAGTAGGTATATTATGGATTACACAGCTGCTGGAAAAGACATGCAAGCCTCAGCTGAAAGACTGTTACTAGTCAGAAAAACAGACCCTGTGTCTTCTACATGTGTTGTTGTTACAGTGATTTCACGTCGTTGAGGCTACTGTGTAACCCCCCTTTCGTCAGTAGCTAGCAGGCAGTGACAGGTGTGAAGTCACTGCGGCAAAAACAACAACTGTTGTTCAGCAGTCACAGTAAAAGAAAGAATTGTGTTAACACATTTCCTAAGTAGTTGGTGATAAAGGAAACTTTGATTCAAGCAGGGATGTGATATTTTGGCCCCGCAGGAGTTCAGAGGGGAATTTATTTTGGTGTGAAAAGACTGTTGTATGAGCAGCCATCACATGCTGCTCTGATAGACTCACTAAGCTCCTGGACAAAACACTGCAGCGAGGAGGATCTGCTCCATGGCATTTTCACAAGTAACTACATTAAGGTTGAGTTTAGTAGACTTTGTTTGGATAGAGTAGATTTGCTTGCTTTCCCTTTACATTTTAATCTGAAATATTTTTCTTAGAAAACTTCTTAAGAACAAATGTAAGAAGATATTGGTCAATGAGGCCCAATGAAATGCTAGAAATGCAGCTGGTGACAAAAGCAACGTTATGATCCTTCTCCCTAACAGTGCTATTGTGTTTCTCATGTTAGAAATAAGTTAAAAAATCTAAATAAATCAGTGTAGTCGAATATCATTTATACATTGTATCATTTCAGTGTAATTTCTAGATTGCATACAGTATATTTCAATATTAATAGTGTACTTGTTATAAACCTACGAAATTAACACCAACTCTGCACTTCCTCTCAACTCAATAGGGATCTTTAGCCTTTTTCAGCTCATTATTTTGGTTTTGCATTCCACAGCTGTAAATTTGCTCCCAACAGGGTCGGTTGACTCTCAGAACTAGTTCTAAAGACATGCTGTCCGACCATATTGGGAATTAAACGTGTTTATAGTTGCTGTGCTGGGAGGCAGAGTGGCAAGGCAGCTGGGATAAGCCAAATGGGACAATGGTGCATATTTTCAGTCTCTCCAGTAAAACATTCATAGTCTTGCACTTGTTTATACACACAACATCCCGGAGCACGAATCCTGCTTTAGAGATTTGAAGCACTTAGCACTGAAGATCTAAATATTGTTCTCAGAGATGGAGGAGACCAAACCACAGTGTAAAGGAGAGTAAACATTACACTTACGTAGATTCATCAGGCGGACACAGAAACCTCTCTCATCCAGCTGTTTTCTTATGTGAAACACTTAAGTAAGTCAAGGAATTTACTGTTATTTTCATTTGCATACAATGAAATGCTGTTTACAGTAATACAGCAAACTTTTACACACACACAATGAAACCAGTGCACATCAACACAATAATAAAAAACATAAACAAATAGATTTAAATAATTAGAAGAGCGAGTACAGTGGGTTGAGTAGTTTGTTTTTAGTGATGTTGAGTATTCAAGCAAAACAGCCTTTTTTTGGTATGCAGTCTTCCCAGACCAGTCTAAAGACTGATCACTTGTTTGTTGCCATATACATGAAGTTTAATTTACTGATATATCAAGTGTGCAGTTATCATCTTGTCCTCATGTGGTCAAGTGTCAAGAATGAAAAAAAGAATGATTAAAGCCAATGTAAACTCAGTGTTTCCACCAGTTTAACTTTGAATGTGATCCTCCTCAAATATGCTATTTTGATTAATGAAAAACAAAACTTTTGGAAGCATGACAACATTTTGATTGAAAATCTGTTTATATCAGCTCTTTATGAAACATGTGGCTATCATTTCCAGCCTACTTGTAAACAACGTGCTCCAAGTTCTTATATTTATGACATAAATCATTAATACTCAGAAGGGAGAATAAATTATGGTTTTGTTTACTGACTAATTCTTATGCAGATAACTTTTCAAAGTCTTTGTTATTGTACTGATGACTGGCCTGTCTTCCTGTCTCCTCCTTGTCCAGCTTATTGTGCAGAGAGCTGTGTTCATGGCCGCTGTATGGCCCCCAACACCTGCCAGTGTGAACCGGGCTGGGGGGGCTCCAACTGCTCCAGTGGTAAGACCTCCAGCTGCTGCTGTCTGTGAGCAGTCAAGTCTTTGTGTGTGTGACTCTGTTTTTTTGTGAAAGCACTCTGAACACACAGGAGAAAAAACAGACAGTTGTATCATCTTACTGACTGTTACACTGTACCATACCATACCAACACAGAACAGGAGCGAAACACTTTGCTCTCATGGCGTTTTTTTTCTTTTGCCTCAGACTTAAACAAAGATCTGAAAACTATCGACATTACAAAGACAGATTGGGACGATTGTTATCGTGAACTCTTTCGGTTTGTGCTTGCTTCACTGTGGTCTGGCTAAGCTCAAAACGCCCTCATTTGAGGCTGATATTACTTTTCAATTGAATTAGTCTGCACAGAAGCTCATTTACAGTTCTGTTTCTCAGACATCTACATGGTCCATAACGCCCACACACAGTCGGTGCAGCCGTCAGCTGCAGTTTTCTCTTATGGCCAGCTGCAAGAAGCTCCTTCATTTCCATAGTCGCTTTGCATTTTGGGACATGAGAGTAGACGTGGCGTCTTGTATGCAGTTGAACACAACTATTACACCTTGTTCATGTGGCTTTGCAGCAAAGTACCTCTTGGTATTGTTGATTGCTTAGAGTACTTAACAGACTATATGAATGCTGTGGGAATGCTCACAAATTAAAATAAAAATAAAATGATGTTTGTACTGTTGACAACAGTTGACAGCAGTTGACGGGTTCCCTCCATAATGCACAATGACAATGTGAAAAACATTTGTTTTTCATGGAAATCAAAACTCAAATCTCTCATTGGCAAACGTATTCGGACCATTTGTTGTAGCTTTAAATTGTAAGTATGCTCTAGTGATCCTTGAGATCTCAGCAGCTCCTCATAAATCAGCAGTGTTCAGCAAGTTCACACTTAAACAGCCTTCAGTTCATAAAGATTAAAATGACCTAGTTCATGTTTATAGTTCATAAGTTCATAAGTTGACAGTCCCCAAAGTGAACAATTTCATGCTCATATCCTCCATTTTATTAACCTATTGAAACCCACTAGGCCACCGGTGACAAGCAGACACTGACGAGGTAGCATATGAAATGAAGTTCTGTCAACATGGACCTGCTGTATCTTATTGGAATGAGTAGAAGGTCGACTAAACACACACATAACAACCATTTCACCTAAACATAACACAATTTCAAAAGCAACCAAACCAGCATTGTCTATACATGTTCACACAGCTGATACTGCAGGTGTCATATGAAAACCCAGACTCGTTCAAGGTACAAAAAGATGTAGCATTGTTCAGTCCTGCAAGAGTGAACGATGCTCACATTCACGTTCAGCAGTTTCAAACTTGTCCCATTGGGACTTTGATACTTCTCAGCACTGATGTTCCTGTATTCTATTGTAGCGGATATGCCTCTCAGCGTTTGCTATCTTACACCCTGTTACTATGTGTGATGTGGTCGACCACAGCCTTCTCTGGATCCGGTGTTTAGGGCCTGTACTTTTCATTGCTCTTATTCTCAGGCTGCTGGACTTGAGATGAGGAGTTTTCAGGAGGCATGAGGAGTCTTGACATTAGCTGCAGGTCATCAGTTGTGTTCTGGTTCAGTTGCTGATCAGTTGTTTTTCTTGTGATGTCACCTTCTCCCACATGTCGTTTCAGCATTGCTCGGACTCAGTTCTGGGTGGATGGCTTCCTTCTATCAAGGTTTTCTTTGTCGGCTACTGTGTGTCTTGTTCCCAACAACTCACTCAAGCCTGCCCTGAGCAAGAGTTGAACCTCCCTGATCTGCTGTTTCAAAAGCAACACTACCACTGTGCCATATATTATCACCATTTCAATCCAGATTTAGCCCTATAATCATTCAATAACAGCTGCTACCAGTATGATGAGATCTGATTTAGAGACAAAATGATCAAAAGCAGCAACCAGGACTGATTTTCATGAAAATAATATATAATATTAACTCTGATATATATTTTGTGTTGGTCTTACTGTAGCTGACTTGATCTGCTGACGGCTGCAAGGGTGGAGTAAAAAAATATAGGTCAGATACTTTCTACTTCTCGTAGCATCAGTCAGCCGAGAACAACAGCTGATCTCGCAGTGTTTGCTTTTTTTCAATGAAACAGATGAACAATGGCGTTGATTTAGAACTTTGTGTCAGCTGAACATTAAAACTATAGTGTACAGTGACCATGTGTAAACACAGAGACTAACAAAGATGAAAAAAATCCGGCACACATGAAATACCTTCACAGAAACCACCAGAAACACACCGACCAGTGGCTATATATTCAGTGAATATTATATGTTCACACAATTATATATTTGTATGTTTTTTTAAATTATGAGATAAGATGTAGATAGTGTTCCTGTTTGGACATTTTTAAGATAAATATTTATGGGTATACATAGCAGAAAACACACCTGAATTCTCAGTATAAAACCCTTCTTCTCTTCATGGTTTATTGACAGTCGGCAAAGGAATTGATGCATTACCACCACCAACCTGTATAGAGTGTGGACTATGTAAGCTTCAGTTTTCAGACCTGTTGAAATGTTGGCAGTTGCAGAGGCAGTTCTGAAGTGGCTCTGCCTCAGCACCCGCACTGTCCTGCTGAAAGAAGTATTTATGGATACCATGGTTTCCTGAAAGTGTAAAACCCAACTATTTGCAGAGGTTCTATGTTCTAGTGTTTTCCCCTGTACAGAAACATCCCATTGCTGATCATATGCTCAACATCATGTCATCAGTTTGTGTTTAGTGGTAGTAAGTTATTTTGTTGACATCAAACTTGCAGACAGTGTTTGTGGGAGGTTATTTTTATTTCTACTTATGAGCCTGTGAATCTCCCCTCCATGCATGTCTATAAGCTGATATGCATGAGGAGCCCACAGGGTGTGCCCCTGCTGTCTTCAGTTTCAGCCTGTAATAAAGAAGCTTATTGTTGTATATTGGCCCCAGGGCTCTCCTGGGCCCCACTAAACCCAGCCAGTCTGTCTGCTCTCACACACGTCTCAAAAGATATCTCTTGTCATGGAACTGAAAGAATGAATGAATGACTTGCAAAAATAAGGCTAAATTGTAGAAATTAGCAACAAGCAAAACTGGTTGCTAAAAGTTTGGATAAGAAGAAATTAAAGTTGGTCAGAAAGAGACAACGGATGAGAAGACAAGAAAAAAATGATTCTCACTTTATATTTTTTCAAGATTTTCCAAGCGATGCAAGTCAGATATCTTTTAAATTGAACTCTAAAACAACCTGAATCATCCTGTTGCACCTATTTACTCTGCTATTCTAATGCAGCCAGCATATTCAAATCCCTAAACCAAGGCTGGATGTTCCCCAGCCCTGCTCCAGGTCATGTCCTGCTGTGTGCTCACATAGATATCTGACAAGAAGCTCTGCAGACACCACTCATGGCTGGAAGACTACTCATCTTATAGTTTGATTTACATGGGTTATACATGTATTGTGTTAAGGACGTTAGAGTTCATTCGAATCTAATGTTGCTTTGCAACGACACAAGAAAATCATAATCAATGAATTAAACTGTGCTACAATACCTACTTCACTGGGGTAAAGGCATTAATGTTGTATTTATAAAGCTCATGTATTTTCCCAAAACAGATGGCCAATGTTTGAAACTTTTATTAAACATTACTCAAAAAGGAGGAAAACATTGCAGTGACCATGATTTTCCAAGCTTTGGGAAAGAAAATACACACAGTATTTTGGACAGCCAGTCAGTAGGACACCCTGGTGTGTCTCCGATTAACTTCTCATATGGTGACCAAGACCATGTTGCTGCAGTAACCAAACCCTCATATACTTCTCAGTATATCAACCATGTACACAGCATCACATCATCTTGTCTGTTTTCTAATGTAACTACTGTAACTATAGTAACTACTGATGTGTGACTCTGGGTTGGCCAGCACACCCAGTCAGTCCATAAATCCCAGGCTGATGCCTGGCTCTGTCTACTGCTCTGCTCAGACCTGGTACAAAGCTGATCACAGGTGGACAGCTCACTACGTGTGTCAATGGATCTAAGACACATTTGGAAGTGGTTATTAAGTGAACATTAATTTGTCCTGGACCACATTGGAGGACTCGACCCAGCCAACATTCTCTGACCCATTACAGATTTATAATAAAATATAATAAATAAGTAAAATAGTATTTCTTTATTGGACTACCAAAATGGTTGTGCAATGATTTACTCAGCTCTCTCTCTCTTCCCCCTTATCTCTCTGACATGGGTATTTGGATTTAGAGTGAGGAAGTGTGATCTGATCACGAGTGGACACTCCACGCATGGAGACTCATTCTGCTGCCAGGTGAGAACTGATCTCAGAGCTCTCCTCTGGTGATCAGATCTCTTAGGACAGGTATCTATAGCAAGCGTGAACAAGGTCTATCAGTGTGTGATAAAGAGGCTGAGATGTGTCATGCTGATCATGACCCGTTGGGGATGTTCTCATTCCACTATGAGAGAACAGGTTCACAGGCTCTGAACCTTTAGTTATATAATATTCGTGGTATTTTGTTTCTTTAGGTGAGAAGAACATGTTTCTACACTAAATGGTTAATCTAGGGGAGACTGGTTTTGTGCGAACACATCTCTGTGATAAAGCAGCAAATATATTAGTTATCTTGACTCACATGAGTCACCAACAGCATTCAGCCACTGTTCATTCACGACCCCCTTCAGAAACTGAAGTCTAATTTCCAGATAATACTAAGATGCATTGACTGTGTTTTACGGGTCAGTGAGCTTCAACAATATGTCTGAGGATCAATTTGGGGAACAAGAGCAGGAAATGGCAGGAGGTTGTGTTCACTGGTGAGCAGGAATAATAGCAGGAGAAAACTGTGTGGTAGCAAATGACCTGAGGCACTGGAGCATGTGATTAAAAGTACACATGACAACAGCACAAGATGCTCAGGAGGCCTTAAGTTCAGCTGTGAGAATATACTGAGTAACAGCATGTACTGTATAGTCCTACAGTCCGTGTAGGATCCTCCTTTGTGCGTTTTAATCAATAAACCTACAGTACTTAACTTTCTGTCCTTTTATTAATATTATCACATTATTTGAGATTTAATTCAACTCAAGTCACTCAAATCTTCTCCAACACACCCACTTTATTTCCTGGAGCTTCAGGCTTCTTGGAGGCCATTCTTCGTCGTATTTAATGTCACCTGCATCTGCCAGCATCAGGTCCCCAGCTTCTCTCTCTCACCCCTCCTTCTCATATTCATATTTGATTGTATACAGAGTGTTGAAGTGAGATTCAATTATAAGGTGGCACTGGAGGCACGCTGTTTACTCTTGATCGGATCAACCCTGTCACACTGCATCAACACTTGTATAATGATTTCTGATAAAGAGCTAAAACGTTTTTTTAATCACAAGAACGTATTAACGTTCCCCCTCTTCCTTATAACTGAGTGTATAAACTCAAACATAGTGTATCTCAAATCAATAATGAGTTGAATCTTACATCACTATGACACGATCAGAGTGAGTTTTCGATTTTACAGAAACACATAAGACATTATACAAAACAGGATGAAAAGTTCTCACCATGAATAATCAATTGGTCTGGTGGAGTTCTTCAGAGATATGCCTCTTCTTCTCGGTTGTGTGTGTGTTAGTGGAAAGACAAAGAGTGACATTTAAATAAGAAAACTAATGAAAAGCATCTTGTGTTCTGTGTCTTCCACATATATAGACACTGTGCTATATATGTGTAAAGACGTTGCTGAATGGAGTGACCATTTTATTGTAATATGACGATAAAACTCTGGGTGATACACATTCCCCTTCAGCATGGGAAAGTGGAAGAATGCTACAGATGTTTTTTCTCACTGCGAATCCTCCGTATCAGTGTGAAAGGCGTTTTCTGTTCCCATGAGTGCACCATGCCTGGTAGACTGGGTAATCACTAGATAGATGGAAAAACATTCCGGCCCCAATCCCTCCTTAGTGAAGAGAGTGAGAGCTGAGCCAACCATCAGCAGCTCAAGTTACTGGCTCAAAACTTTGTGTTACTTTTGGGTTGAAGCGTTTTATGATTTGTTGTGTCTGCATTCACTCAAATGAAGATACATGGATGTTGAAGTTTTACTCTCGCTCATGTTTTGTCCCGTGAACTCAGGCGAACATTAAGAAGTATAAGGATTTTTTTTTAAAAACCTGAGATCCTGAGTTGCATCCAACCTTGTGACCAAACCCTGGCACAGTGCAGTCTTTTTTGTTCAAGACCGTGTTGAATAGGCCAGTGAAAGGGAACAGTCTGTTCTCCAGCGAGTGGATGAGGAGCCTCAAGCTCCTGGAGTCTGGCCTTTCTTCAATCTAGGTCAGGTTTCACAAAGGTACCGGGATGGCCGAGTTGAATGCAGGAAGGGTTTTACATGTGCATTTTAGTATTTCTAATCTGCACCTCCCCTTTATCCCCCACCCAACCCCCATCTCTCCTCACAACTGTTTGTCACACAGGACAAGACTGCCTGAGGAAAAGGAAGTGCACACTTTTATCAGGGCAAAGAGAAGTAGGCTAATGCAGGAGGAATAAAAGGAGCCTGTTAATCACTTGAACAACCTCAGAATGGTGGAATAGTTGGGGATGGCTGTGTTACTTTGCATGCTGGGCACATAAACACCAAACTCTGTGTTGTCGGTGTAGCAGAAGAGTGGAGCCCAGCTCAAATAATTTGTTGTTAATTCAAATAAAAATGTCATCTTGATCACTGTTGTTTTAATAATTGTGGCCTACAATATATAATGTAGGTGACCAAACCCAAAATAGACAATATTAATTTGAGCCCCTAAAATAGTTAGTTTGAAAATTCAATTACCAGCTGTGGATGTAAAGTGCCTCCTGCTATATGTTTTGTTACTGTCAGTGCCAGAGAGAACCAGTAGCTGAAGGCATTATGTTTTCAGGTTGTCCGTCCGTCCCTGAACATATTTTCTCTCGAACTGTGACTTCACAAAACACTTTTTTGCCTTGTGAACATGTTATATTTTTATTTAGATGAACTGATCAGATTTGGGTGGTCACAGGTCACAGGTCAAGGTCGCAGAGTCTTCACAAAACATGTTTCTGGCCTTTTGAACATGATGCCTCAAGTCTATCTTTTGGGGATTTTGTCTCAAAGATAAAGATTATGTACATATAGTTAGTAGAATCAACTGCAGGCCGATAATTCTTGTTCACTACAAGTGAGAACTTTTCCCCTCTGATGAAAACTAACTGATGCTTACCTGTTAACAATGAGTAGCAACTTAAAGCTGAACCAAACTAAATTTTATCATGTGACCTCTCAAAGCAGGCCTCTCCTCGCATGAACCTGATGGGAGGAACTTATTTGTAGTTTAAATTCATGTTGGGCCTTCCCTTCTTACCAACACCAAGGAGCTGTGCACAGGAACAACATAGGCTACTGACACTTTTTTCTCCAAGTGACAAGATCAAATATTTGCAGTTTGCATTTAATTAATATCTTTGTTTTGATATCACTTTAAGACTCAACCATTGAGTTACAAAAATATTCCACCTTAAAAGTGGCTAGTTGTTTGCCTCTAAGCAGCCCAGTGAATTAAGTCATATTTTTCAATGCTACTTACATTAACTTTAAAAGTGAAAAGGCAGCAAGACATTGCTCCATTCATCATCCTCTTCTCACAGATTTTTATTTGTGTTGCATTTCTAAAGAAACACTAAAAGGCCTGTTAAATCTGGACAGCTTGTTTTGCATCACATTGCTGCTGAGAATGAAAGCTAGTTTAGCCACATTTTCACAGTGTAACTTATTAGATGAGTCTGACCTCAGCTACACTACAGCGACAGCTTCTCTTCAGAATGGATGTAAATCATTCAAAACACTTGTGTTGGTTCACCTGTGTTTCTTAATACCACACTGATAACATCCTACTGCATCATATGTTCTAATACTACTGAGTTGTATGTTTGTCTGACTGCTGCCTAATATTCTCGTCTATGAAATTCATTTTCTATTTCATTTGAAAATGTATAAACATTCTATTCTCTTCACATATGAAGATTTTATGTCACGTTAACTGTCTTTATATCTAATAGTAAGACAATTAAATATGTCACCAAGGACATGTTGAAAAAACTAAAATGTATTAAGTATTCTCTGATGTAGTTCATGAGAGACAGTGCATCTTTATTCTCTGCACTACCCAAAGAGAAAGAATAGGAAAGGCACATGTAACCACAAGATACTGGGACAGTTCACATGCATTTTTGCATTCTGTTCTTTATATTCCGATGTCAGTCACAGCCTCAGGAGTCAAAAACCAACACAGCACTTTTTTCTTATTTAACAGACACATAATTAAAGCTTTGTCATGAACCAAAATATGAGGCTTCAGATTAAAAGACTAAACTTTGGACTGAGCATTGTCAGGTGACCAAAACTCTTCTGCAACGGGTTCGGCACTTCCTGCAGAAAAATACTGTAGTTTTCAGATTATCCTTCACAAACCCTCACATGAGTTAAATATGGAAGATGATACATTCAAATTATTATTTAAACTTTTAAAGTCCATCAAGGACCTTCGGTCAGCCAACTCAACTGTGTTCAGTCCTAATATTTAGCATGAAGGCTCTGACCACATCGCTCTCACAAGGAAACACCAAACTTAGCACAGCAGGGAGTGACAATAATAACTTTTCCAGCGGCATATAGACACAGAGCCAACAGGCGGGTGCTGGGTGGAGGTGGGTCATTAGAATGAGTGCAAATCATTGAACAGAACAATGACGGCATAAGTAAACCACCATGATCAAAAGGTGGTGAATACAAATTGAGCCTGTTATGTTTATCTTTGGACAGAAATGATCAATTATCACTAAACCTGCCAAACACGTAGCTGACTATGGTAGTATACAGTAGTATACACAGTATTCATTATGAAGTCCTTGGTCTTTTTCCTAGTGAAAAATCTCACTTGCTCATGAACCTAATATAAACCTCTATGACGCACAGTCCCATAATTAAAGGTCTGGCAGTCACTGTAAACCTTCCTGACTCTCCTGTTTTGTCCCCAGTCATTACCAGACGCTGGATGGCAACAGTCTCTCAATGTGTCCTCATCAAGATGAAAGACATCTAGAATAAACATGTGGTCCAACACATTGTCAGGTTTATCATGTGGCTAAGGCTTCCATTACAAATTGTGATTGGAAAGCCAGATGCATGGTAGAAATCACTCATATGAGGTATGGTCTCATTAGGGATGGAAATCCAACAGCCAAAGGTTAATGAGGCGGGGTTAGGTCATCAGCTGCTTGTAGAATCCGATGGTTTTCATGACAGTGATTAAAGCAGCCTTTGGTTTCAGCCCTAAGAATCAGTTCAAATGGTTGACTTTTCTTAATTGTGTGGTGGGACACAAGTCCCCGGCAAATCTCCATTTTGGGTCAGGCTGTGCTTTGGCTTTACATATACAGAATGTATTATGACCCCATTCACTGGCTGCACATTGATGTGTTGACAACTTAATTTTAAGTGGATAAAGTAGCTATTTTGCCTTCAACCTACACTCAGTGACCCATAATGTCAAGGTGAAAAATTCAATTTATTAAAAAAAAGAAAAAAATCGATTAAAAATCAATAACTGAAATCTTTTATTTACAAAGGTTACCCATTGCTCGTGCATGTCCTGTTCATCCTGGAACTTAACTGGATTCTACTTGTGTCCAATCTTGACTTTGATTTTCAGCTTGTGACAGTAACCACTGGGGACCCCACTGCAGTAACAGATGTCAGTGCCAGAACGGAGCACTGTGTAACCCCATCACTGGAGCCTGTATCTGCACTCCCGGATACAGAGGCTGGCGATGTGAGACCCAGTGTGAAATGGGTACCTACGGAAACGGATGCCAACAGAAATGTCAATGCCAGAATGGTGCTGCCTGTCACCATGTGACTGGAGAATGCAGGTGCACACCAGGATACACCGGAGCTTTGTAAGTTGAAGAGAAAGTGTGAGCATCTGTTTGGTGTTTCTAGTCTCTAAAAGTAGTCTCTCACATACTATTAGTACTTCAACTGCTAAAAATATGATCATCTAGAACAGAAAAGAAACACATCTGAGATAACTGATTTTTAAAGTGAGGCAGGAGAATTGTTTTATCAGATGATGAAGACTATGACCTTGTGATTTAGACAAAAAAAACAAACACTCCAGAAGTGAAATTATTTTACCCCCTGAAAAATGTCCATCAAGATTTCGCACTTCATTTTGTGACTGGAATCTCTGAATATGCTAACATGGCCCTGCCCATGCTCACCTGCAGCTACCGAGCCCCACCCACAGTTTGACACGATTGGTTTGTGACATCACAAACCCTGGCTGTGTTCCTGTTTTTTTCAGACAGGCATTTGTTTACTGCAGTGTTAAGGTGGAAATACTCAGTCATGGTGCTGATAGCTTGTGTCTCTTTAATCATATAAAAGGCACAAGGGGAATATGTGAACCTGTTTAAAAAGCTGGTGGGACTTACATTACTATGTTTGTGCTGCCAAAGTTGGGATCATCTTTGTTGAATGTCACTTTTGTCTGTAACTCTAACGGAAATTCACATCTTAAACAAAACAAATTCTCACACATGACCTTGACAAGTGCACACATATGAACTGGACCTTGTTTCCTTTCTCTTCATAGCTGTGAGGACCTCTGTCCTCCAGGTAAACATGGGCCGCAGTGTGAGGAGAGATGTCCTTGTCAGAATGGTGGAGTGTGTCACCATGTGACCGGAGAGTGCTCCTGTCCTGCAGGATGGATGGTACGCACCCTTAACTGTTAAGAAGAATGGCTTATGCCATTCACACTTACCTTTATTGTTTTTGACAAAATACATACCGTACATTTTATTAGCAAATTCAACATATTAATGAACAATGCATTGTTCTAACATTAATGGGAAACAGATACCCAGGCCATAAAAAGGGTTGAGGAGAAACAACTGCTCACGTGATTAACAGCTTGGATTCCGTATGTATGTTCCTGTTGTGGCTGCTGTGTGCAGGGTACAGTGTGCGGCCAGCCATGTCCAGAGGGGAGATTTGGACAGAACTGTTCCCAGGAATGTCAGTGTCACAACAACGGCTTTTGTGTGTTGTCCACTGGACAGTGTCTTTGCACCCCTGGATACACAGGAGAACGGTAAGAGCAACTTTTTCAGCACATCAGCATCTCTACAGTAACAGCAGCAGCTTCTGTTCAAACCACTATCCCCCCGAGTGCTTAACCTGGATTTCCCGGGATTTGCACAAATCTAAATTCAATGAATCAATTCACCTGTAAACACACAGGATCCAGTTTTTATATTTTTGTATGGTAATTATTTTGACAGGTTTTGTCCATTTATTTGCATTCTGCAAAATGTGTGTGACACAGATCACCTGACATGTAGATTGTCTTACATGTGTTACATTTTGAAACTTTTCATTGGTTCTAACAAATACATTTTTTGTTTTTATAGCCTAAAAAGATAAAAAGTCACCAGTAGGTTAAGTCGCATCAGTCTTCAATAAAAAGGGGCAAGCTAAGGTCCTGAGAATTTCCACAGTTAAGATTGTTTGTGCAGTTTTAGGGAACATAAGGACATATGGTCAGTTTGACAAAAATCCTCCCTCATAGATCTGTCATGAGAAGATGGGCTGACATGCTTAAGTAGTGATGCTCAATGGAGACATACATTCTGTTTGACTCTGCTGCCCTTGCTCAACTCTGTAGCTCAGGGAGATTCAAGTTTAAATTCAACCCCTTAAGTACAGAAGATGTGTTTTGACCCACTCGACCCAATTATGACATGCTGAAATGTCAGATTGGCTAAATCAAAATTAAATGATCTGTGTTTGCCATACCCCCCCCCCACACACACACACACACAGAGGAGGAGAGAAAACACAAGCAGGAAACATAGTCAGTATTTTCACAGACAAATCTCAGCAGAGCACCACACATGGCTTCAGGCCCATATAATTAGCAATATCAGAGAGCATGCACCATATACTTAAGCAGACCAGTGATGAGACAGGAATAGCCTCTCCAAGTGCACTTTTATGACTAAATAAGGGTTTAAGAGAAGCTGAACATTATGGTATAGCACTGGTTGGAACTGGGCCGGCCATGGCACACCCAAACCCACTGGAAACCATTAACAAGACGATAAAGGAAGGGAATGTAGATGACAGGATTTAATAAATGTAACTATGCTGTCAGCTGGAACGGGTGTCCTGTTGAGACATGGCTGATGGGATCAAATATGAGAAACACCACACTGACTGTCAATTGAAGTAGAACCCACGGCGTTCATTTCCTGAGTGGTAGCTGTTTGCCACATTAGCTGAGGCGCTGTCTTCCAACAATGACTGTGTTCAACTGTGGATTCACCAGGGAGCCTTTTCACTGCAGTCAGTCATGTGTGATGTTCTGTAGATTAGTCTGTACAACTAAAACTGCTCCGGGACAAAACACAGATTAATGATCAGTGTGGAATAGAATTAATAGGATATTATAACATGTGTACTCTCCTGTGAAGTGCTCGTGGTACAGTGATCGTTAGCCCCTTATTGTGAATTCTTTGTTGTTATTTTTGGGATTGGAATTTGACTATAATACAACAGTATATACATGCATGCTATGTATACATGCTGTCATATTCACACTTTTATTATCAATTTGCATTTGGCACACCTTAGGGATGCATGACTCAGGGACTGTCTTATAAAGTTATAAAATTATATATATACTGTATATATATATTTAGTGCCTTGTTTCATGTTTTACAGAGATGTATGGTCAAATAATAATAATCTCAGGCATACATATATACATACATACATATATACATATATATACACACACACACACACACCGTGGTCTGTGCTTCCACTTAGCTGGTGTGTCATCCTCTGCCCTTAACCCTCAGCAAAAGTCAGGAATGGCTGCCAAAGAAAAGGAGCTTGATAGCTGAAAACTCTGGCTCTGACTCTCCTAATTAAACTAAACTAAACTTAACTAAACTAAGCTTTCTAAATGAGAAGGATAATCTTAAATTATCTTCGAAATTTAACAGGAAGTCAGTGTTATGAAGCTAATACAGGAGAAATGTTTTGCTGGTTCTGGTCAGGTAACATGCTGCAGAGTTTTTGAAGACTTACTGGTGGATCCAATGGAATTACAATAATCAAGTCTGAACTTAACAAAGGTTCAATTACTAAAAAACTATGACATTTAACTTCAAATTTTAGCATCAAATCCCATTTTTTCATTTTAAATAATCTATGGCAATGAACACTTTATAGACATGTTTAACATGAACGTCAGCATACTTCATTCTCTATGAAAATGTATTTTTAGGAGAAATAATTGTAATAACAGGAACAACACAAGCAGGTATTTGATTAAGGTTTTTAATGAAGCCTTTGTATTTTCTAATCCACGATGGATACTGCTGTGCCTTGTGGTTCAAACAGGTGCCAAGATGAGTGTCCTATTGGAACTTATGGTGCTGGCTGCGCAAAGACGTGTCGCTGTAAGAACAACAGCAAGTGCTACCACACCAACGGAATGTGTCTGTGTGAGCCAGGCTACACAGGGGAGATCTGTGAGGTACGACTGTGTCCTGAAGCTCACTACGGCCTCCGGTGTGACAGGAAGTGTCCATGTTACATCCAGAACACACAAAGGTAAGCAAGGAATAGTGTTCAAACGTTGTTCTTCATTGAGTTCATGGTTTCGTGTCTTTTTTCCATTCAAACGTATTGAAAAAGGCAAAAGAAGGTATTCACCCGTTGTCTGTATGTTTGTTAGTGTGATCTTTGTTCCTTTACACAGTCGACTGTGGCCAGTACTCAGTTAGATCTGTTAGGCTGGCACAGCTGGCAGGTTGCATGTGTCCGGGGCAGAGAACAGCTGATCTGCTGATCATCAATGGGACTGCTGTGTCACGCAGACCAGCTGTCAGTCAAACAGTCACTGACAAATACAGCCACATTCCACCTGTCGCACTGTAGATAATCCCCGCTCTGCTGGCATGGAGGGAAAAACATCATGACCTTCAGTCACATCCAGTCAGCTTCTACACAGTTCTGCTACTCAGAAAACACTTGACAAACAAAATACCTGGGTCCCAGTTTGGCCAGTTTGATTTTTTTTTAAGTAAACATTCTCTCTTACTCTCTCTGACTTTACCTATGGTGTGTTTAATGTCTATATCATCACTAGTAAGTGGTGCTGCTCCTGGAGCCTTTGTGCACCTTCACTTCAGTCAATGTACCACACAGACACAAACCAACTAACCAATCGGGACAGGAGTACTCAAGCAACTCCCATGTACTTGGAGTGTGGTGGCTTTGCACACAGTTGTAAAATGGCTGTTGTCTTACTTTTTAACAGAACGGGCTGTCTCTGTAGGCCCCCTATTCATAGTACAGCCAGACACTCATAACAATCTGTGGAAAAAACAAGCACCTAAAAGACGTACTCTGTTTACATTGCAGCACTGTTTCACTGTTGCACTATTCCTGCTCAATACTGCACCGATTCCTTATTAATTATTTAAATCCAGAGAGGTGTGGAAATAAGGCCCATCTCATTTTTTTCTTTTGACTGAGCCTTTTGTTCTCTTTTGAACCTCCACTGGTATCTACCTATTCTCAGAGAACATGGAGCGTTTGAGTTTGATCACTGGCTAATACTCTCCATTTGGTTGTGCTGGCATGCCAAAGCAATAAGGGAGTGGAAACATGGTTAAATAGGGTTTAAGTGGCATATGAGGTGAAAGGTTTGAGTGTTGAGTCCCTCATCAGCTGATAGTGAAAGGCATGCTGTGGTAAACTTGAATCTTTTCAGTTTTTAGGTACAATACCTTTTCTGATGTCATTCAATAGCTTTATTTGTTGGTTTTATTCTTTACAGTGCTGCTTTGTTTATTTTCCACAGAAACCCATTGATTCATTGAAATTGATTCAATTAAAATGAAGTGAAACCAAGTCCACACAGCACACATGAGCACCGTGCCAGTCAGGTGCACCCACCCGAGACATGGAGAGACTGTTGAATTTTAGATGTGGTGGAATGATGCTTTTTATGAAAAGATTTGTTTCAAGCACACTAAACCTCCTGAGGCATGGCAGGCCAGTGGTGATTCTGTGAAGCTGTTTTCAGACATGCCCTGAACTTTCTCCGCTGGGCCTGTATGCGTGAACGTAAATGTCAGAGTGAGAGCCGTCTGAGTTTCTGTTGACTCTCTCTGTCCGCCCCCCCCAGTATAAAGTTAGCAACTCTGGAGGGGGGCGATGTGAGAAAACAGATAATCTGCAGGTTAACCAGGAGCTACGGTTCGGGTTGATGATGCTTCTAACATGCGATAGATGCAAAAATGAAACAAATAAATAAATACAAATATCGCAAAGGATGTCATACACTAAGAAGACACCGACAAAGACAGTTTGTGGTGATAAGAGCTCACGCTGGTGTCAATGGGCTGTAAACAAAATGTGATCTCCGCAGCAGAATCAATGTCCTGTCTCTGCCTGCTGCACCCCCCATCACCTGAATCCTGTTGTGAACGCATCAGAGAATCTTCTGCTGCGTTGTACATGGACATGTGTGAAAGGAAAATATGGACCCGATTCTCTGGAGATTCTCCAGAGGTCAACGGCTTAACTCATGCGTAGGGACAAAACATTTCAGAAGGAGCAGTATGAGCAACACTAAACAAGCAAAGTACAATCTGTAATTATGGTGTGTTTCTCTCTCTCATTTCCAGCTGCCACCCAATGTCAGGGGAGTGTACATGTCATCCTGGCTGGTCTGGCCTCTACTGCAATGAGACATGCACCCCTGGATTTTATGGCACGTCCTGCCAGCAGGTGTGCCAGTGTCAGAATGGTGCCGACTGCCGCAGTGTGAGCGGAGAGTGTATCTGTGCTCCAGGCTTCACGGTAAACAGTTTTCTATCATATCAGGGAGTGAATGAATGCTTTAGGTCACATATCTCCTCTCTGCCTGGCTGACTCACAGCCAGACACTCGTACTTTATGAAGTGAAAATACACTAAATGTTTCCACTTAACCTTGACAGTTCAACAGTCAAGGTTCATTTGCTCATTCAGGACAGCTGGAAGCTGCTGTCACTCAGAATGTAACTCTTTAGTCACATCTAGTGGCAGCAGATAGAAATGATAGCGATTTTCTTCCATCCCCTTTTTTTGTTTTTCTGGCATCAGTGCATGAACAAAATAATTTCACTGGGCACATATTAGACACCACTTACATTAGATACACAGATATGGGTAGAAAAGCAGTTAAACTATACGCCCAGCTGTCGGCTTAAAACTAACATCACCTTCATAAAGGAGGGTTTATTGCAGGGGAGGGTGTTGCATTAGAGTTAGCTAGGTCAGTTTAATGTATGTCATGTGACCTGCATGTTCTCAGGTGAGATATGATGTCACTGAAAACACACAGATGACTCTGCCTAGCTTTTACCAATAGAAAACATCTATCTGTCTGTCTGTCTGTCTATCTATCTATCTACCTACCTACCGACTTATCTATCTATCTATATATGTATGTATACATACATACATATACAATAAGGAATAAGACATGTAACAGAGATGTAGAAAAGGCTGCTTTGATAGTCTTGTTGGTGAAATGCAGCAGATGAGCGATCACATGTCTTCGGTGCTGTTGATGGTCGAGCTGTGTGTTTGAAGAATGAATGGTATCGGTGCAGCCAGCTGTAACCATGTATCTGCTGACCTCCTCAGGGTCCCAACTGTTCGGTCCCGTGCCCAGCAGGGACACATGGCGTGAACTGCTCCTCCGGCTGTAACTGTAAGAACAGAGCTCAGTGTTCTCCTGTGGACGGGTCGTGCTCCTGTAAACCAGGTGAGGAGAGAACTGACCCAGGGGAAAAGAGGAGAGCATATACAGGACATGTGAATAAATATGTATGATATAAATCTGAATGTGAAATGAGTCAGTATTGCATCATGTCATATTTATTCCAGGTTATTTTTTTATTTAATTCCAGCAGTTTTTATTATAAAAGTCAGTTTTTTTTCTCTCTCAACACATGACCACACATGACAACAGTGAACTGTCATAGCCTTAGGGATTGTATTATCAATATCATGTTTTCCCCTCTGTCATTAGTGATCTTTCTTTTTCTCTCAGGCTGGCATGGGGTGGACTGCTCTATCAACTGTCCCAGTGGTACCTGGGGTCTGAGCTGTAACCTCACCTGTATGTGTGGGAATGGAGGATCATGTAACGCCCTGGATGGTCACTGTACCTGTGCTCCTGGCTGGAGAGGAGAGAAGTGTGAACTCCACTGTCAGGTGAGAGGAGATGGATTCTCCCAGAGCTTTGAAAAAGAAATAGCACTTAGTTTAGTTTAGCTCAGTAATGTTGTGTTGTTTTGCCCACGTTTGAACGTGTGAGTAGAAGAGTTGTGAAAAGCATGAAAACTTTCTCTGGCTAAATACCTGCTGCTCATCATGTGATATGTTACTGTGATGTTGCTCTTCTCCCTCCTCAGGATGGCACCTATGGTCTTGACTGTAAAGAACATTGTGACTGCAGTCATGCCGATGGATGTCACCACTCTACTGGTCACTGCCGCTGTCTGGCTGGATGGACTGGTAAAACAGAATTACAATCCACATGGCTGTTTTCTCTATGTATGTGCAGCGTGCCAAAAATAACACTGCTCTCTGTAGTTCAGATTTTTCATTCTTAAAAAATCTATTGTATCCAGTTGTTATGTGACTTAGGCAACGAGAGATCTTAGGTCAGCAAAGATAATTATTTGAGCCTAGAGGACAGAGAGGGTGTTAGTTCACAGTCACACATTTGACTAACTCTATCCTACTGGCTGAAAGGAGTCTATAATTTTAAATAAAACTGAAATAAAAAATAATCAGCATTTCAGGGAACACACTTTCAGCTTTCGGTCTGAAGGACTGATAACTCTCATGTCACGTGTTAAGTTGGGAGAATGTGCATACACTCTCCTCAAAGAGGCCTTTGTATCTGCTTCACTGGGCTCCTCACTGCTTCGCCCTGTTGCTGGATCCAGAGCAGGTCATCCACTAACGAGAAGGTCTGCACTTCGTTTCCCATCCCCGCCATTCTGAAAGTCTCCTTGGGCAAGATATTGAACCCCAAATTGCCCTTGATGGCTGTGCTGGCAGTGTGTGAATAATGTACGATAGAGAAAGTCCTGTACATAGATGGTTATCAAGACTATAAAGGTGCTATATAAATACAGACCATTTACCATTGAACTCAGAGACTTAACAGGAGAGCAGGGAGAGGAGAGTTATAGATTGAAGGAGTGCACAGAAGAAAAGAAGGTCTGAGCTTCTACAGACATTAGTGTCCAAAGAACAATGTAACTAGAGTCTTTTTAGTCAGAGCTCCTTGTAGTGCAATATAATTGTGTTCACTGTGTATATATGTGTGTGTTTGTAGGTATCCATTGCGACAGTGTGTGTGCAGAGGGACACTGGGGCCCAAACTGCTCCCTCCCCTGTAACTGTAAGAATGGAGCTTCCTGCTCACCTGATGAAGGAACCTGTGAGTGTGCTCCAGGATACAGAGGCACCACCTGCCAGAGGAGTAAGTCCTACATCAGCACCACATACTGCTGCATCCTCACAGATGACAAACAAGTTGATGTTAACTTCAGTAGTATTTCCATAGTTCTGTCTATTCTCTGCTGTAGTTAATAACGTCTGGGAGCACAATGTCATCAGGTTGTAGTCAAACTCAGGAGTGAAATGTGACCAGTAAAATAATCCCTCAAGCTGTCAGTTGTAAACTACCATGACAGTTTACAGCTCTACCACTGAATATTTAGATTTGGCTAACATACTGTCACACACAAACTTTTATACGAAGGAAACATTAGGTGTCCAACCTCAGTGATTCTCTTTCTCTCTCCTGTGTAAAATGTAAGTGTTTCAAATTTTTCTGTCACCTTGGAGTGTGAGCACATTTGTAGACAGAATATTCACTAACTGACATGAAAATTGTGGACATGTAGTCTGATGTCAAACCCTGAGCTCCCCCTGAAAATCCTGATTGTGTGTTTAGTTTTGACCAGATTAAATGAAGTCCTCTTTGTGTTTCTCCTGGTTCGGCTGCAGTCTGCTCCCCTGGTTACTTTGGTCACCGCTGCAGTCAGACCTGTCCACAGTGTGTCCACAGTAACGGACCGTGTCACCACATTACAGGACAGTGTGATTGTTTGCCGGGCTTCAAGGGGGCACTGTGCAACGAGGGTGAGCATTGCACATTCACCAAGTTACACCCATTCACCCCACAGCACACAGGTTCTACTGTGTTACAAAGGCTTCAGGGTTCAGTCCACGTGGATTCCTACTATTTCTGAAAATGCTGTTCCAGCAAAATTCCTTAGTTTATGACGCTTTCTCAGAAAACAGCCAAAGATATGCCTGCAGACAACTGCTAGCATGAATATCCCTTGAATGGGACACACATCTGTGTCATCCAACCTAATTAGTTTTTCTCTGCAGGGCATACATGTTCCATAAATGTTTATACAGAACATTTGGTCATATGATTGAACATGTTATCAAAAGGTTCAGTGTGTAAGATGTATGTGGATCTATTGGCAGAAATTTCAGAAAAATAATCCTAGTGATGTTTTCACTAGTGTATAATGATCTAAATTGTATGAATTGTTGTTTTCTTTACCCTACAATGGGCCTTTATATTTAAATACTTTATAGGGGTGAGTTTTTTACAGTAGCCCAGACTGGACAAACTAAAGACCTTTGAGTTTTTATGACAACTGAAGTCCTTCATGTTTGGAAGGTGAGAGTGAGGTGACGGGTATTCAGCTGCAACATGCAACGTCACCACTTAATTCTACACACTCAACCTTTAACGTTTGATTGCTTATCCCGTAAGAAAGATCGTAACCATTTTAAAATGTCTCAGTTAACCTAATCAGAAACCACCATCCCTAGATGGCAACAACATTATAATGATAAACACACCCATGTCCCGTGAACAGTGTGTCCCAGCGGTCGCTTTGGGAAGAACTGTATATGGAGCTGCAGCTGCACCAACAACGGCACCTGTAACCCCATCGATGGCTCCTGTCAGTGCTACCCAGGATGGATTGGTAGCGACTGCTCCCAACGTGCGTATAATAAAATGATCAAATATATACAATAGTGGTTCTGTCATGTACTTGTTTCTTCATGAGACTGTATTCTGAAGAGAAATGGTATTTATGTGGTTATATATTTGTGTGGTTACTGTGTTGCAGCATGTCCGCCTGCTCAGTGGGGACCCAACTGCATCCACACATGTAATTGTCACAATGGAGCCTACTGCAGCGCATATGATGGAGAATGCAAGTGCACCCCAGGATGGACCGGCCTCTACTGCACACAGCGTCAGTCACAGACACACTCACATACTGACTTATTCTGTCTGTTTGCTGCAGCATTTTACCTCTTTTCACTTCAAAAATAAAAGTTATTTAAATGTTTGCATAGTATTATATTTTGAAATACAGCTGTATATGATAAACTTTAGAGGTGTTTTTGTTTACTAAAGGTCAGTTTTGATACATGTGCTGTATGACATGTGCTGTTATTTCCGGAACATACAGTTTAATGGGATGTATGATGAATTCCTTACAGGCTGTCCTTTAGGTTTCTATGGGAAGGATTGTTCTCAGACCTGTCTGTGCAGGAATGGAGCTGATTGTGATCACATCTCTGGACAGTGCACCTGTCGCACTGGCTTCATGGGACGTCACTGTGAACAAAGTATGTTACTCTTTCTTTCAAATTGCAAATTCAGGGTTTCAGCTTCAGCAAGTACTTTTAATTTAGAGGCATCCCTACTCCATTTGAATGATTAGCCCTTTTTTTTTTTATCTCCAGAGTGTCCTCCTGGTTCGTACGGGTATGGCTGCCGTCAGGTCTGTGACTGTCTAAATAACTCCACCTGTGATCACATGACTGGTACATGTTACTGCAGTCCAGGCTGGAAAGGAGCTCGCTGTGACCAAGGTGAGGAATTACCTCAGTACAAATGGCAGCATTTAAAGTAAAGGAAGGGTTCAGTTCTCAGGTCTGTTATTGAGAATAGTTACTCTAATCAGATTATCTTGGTGGACTCATCATTGACAGCCATCTCCTTTTGAAAGGACAACTTTGTCAGGTTTTAGTTTAACAAAGACTAAATGTTCCGTTTGACTAAACCAACCCTGTGCCTGAGGCTGTAGTTATATATTTGCTCCTCCTTCTATCTTCAGCTGGTGTGGTGGTGGTGGGCAGCCTCAACAGTTTGACCAGTGCAGCCATGCATGTGGACACCTACCAGATTGGAGCCATTGCAGGAATCATTGTCCTGGTTCTACTGGTGCTCTTCCTCCTACTCCTCTTCATCATCTACAGGAAGAAGCAGAAGGGAAAAGAGCCCACCATGCCAGCTGTGACCTACACTCCTGCTATGAGGGTCACTGCTGATTACACCATCACAGGTACAGTACAAGTTGACCTGTTCAACCAGCTCAGTGATGGGAATATGCACTCCATTATCTGAGCCAGCATCTGAAGAAAACCAAAATGTAGCAACATACATAAGTCCATAACTGCAGTAAAGCCGGCTAATCCAATATATCACTGTGAAATGGTTCCTGGCAGTGCTAAAGACACTAGCACCCTAACACAACCATGCATGGAGTTGTGAGATCTGAGTCAGGTACAGGTATGAGCAGGAGGTCTGCTGAGCAGTCGACACAATCGTAACTTGATCAGCTCCACCAACATCCATTAATGTGTCAGTCTGATATGGTGAAAAACAAAATGAATTAATAAAATCATCTGCCTGGCCAGATATTAAAACTGCCAGCCAGTTTTGACCTGTAGGCGCTATTGCTGACCATTGTCCTCTGGGGTATAAGTCTAGGTTTTAGCTGGGTCACGCAGACACAAGAGAGAGACTTGTCCTGACAACACTACAGTCCACTCTTCTTTGTGCTGTTTCCTTTGGGTCACTGTTGGAGCAGAGAACCCCTCCCCATTGTATGATGCTGCCCCCATCATGCTTCACTGTAGGGATGATATTTCCAGGTGATGCCCAGTGCCTGTTGTTTACTAGACAGTGTCTGTAGTTTTTCCCAAACATTTCACTTTTTGTGTCATTTCTAAATTCTTAAAACATATTTTCACTATGTCATTATGGTGACATGGTGGCTAAAGGATAATAATTATTCATTATTTAAAACAAAATATAAAACACAACAATGTGAGCAAAAAGTGAAGGGGTGTGAATAAAACAATAAATACAAATTGCAAACAGTGATGATTAGGTCCTCATGCAATATGACCACCGGAGGAGCATGTGTCCAGTAGGTGGCACTATGACTAAGACTGAACTTTGTCACGTAGATGTTCTCAGACTTGGAATCAGATCGCACATGAACTTTGCCTGTTTTCAAACATCCAAATTCTCTATTTTAGATTGTACATATGTTGAGAATAATGCTGTAGGTTATGTTTGTTATGGTGCAATGACTTGAAAATGACCCACTTCCTGTTGGGTTGAGGCCAGGATTCCAAGAGGCTTTTCATACATCAGAGCATGATAGATATGACAAATCATTTTGTGCATCTATTCAAAATGTGCCGTGGGGTTGGTGATCTGATGATCAAGGGACTTTACCCGATTTATGAGAATGCCAAGTCTTGCGAGTTCTTGAGCATGTTTGGCCTCAATATCACCACACAAAGCTTGGGCCCCAATAAAAGACTATAGTATGTTACTGAAAGTGGGGCTGTGAGAAGACTACTTCATAAGGAAAAGGACTGAATAACAAGTGTCACGTTTGGATCTAGAGAGGAGACAAACTACAAAGAAAAGATAGTTTCTATTTGTACCATATACTGAACTGCATCCATGGAAACAGTTTACTATTAATAACATGTGCCATTCAACTCCTGCTCCTTATGACATCGCTGAATGAGATTTCATTTTAGCACATCAGGCTCTGTGAGCTCTGGTGGACTGAGTTGTTTAGTGCATCGTGGTAAGTGATCTCTTCACCTTGTCATTTTTCAGATGCTCACCCACCAACATGTGAGGGTCACCCCAGCAACTACTTCTCCAACCCAAGCTACCATACTCTGACCCAGTGCATCAGTCCGTCACATGTTAACAATGGTCCTTATGGAAAGGTATGGAAGTGTGACTATTTCAGACTCTCTAGTATGGAACGTGTCTATTAACAAATGTCCTGACAACTGATGTTTTTCCCTTTAACTCAATAAAATGTTGCATGTTTAGACCAAGAACAACCAGCTGTTTGTGAACTTGAAGAATGTAGAACAGCGAAAAGGGAATCCTCTAACTGATCACACTGGCACACTGCCCGCAGACTGGAAACAAGGGGATTGCTTCAATGAACTGGGTGAGTCATGGCCGCAACGAACCTGCAGTTCTCAGCGGGCAGGCACATCTGCCCTCACTGCATGATAGTATACTGTGTGCATGTTCACAGGGAAACATACAATTAACACAGCAACCCCATGTGGTTGGAAATGTGTAGTCACTGACAACAACTTACTGGCTAATCAGTTTTATCTTCATCTTAATGGGCAGAGATGGGAGACTTTTCACTATTGTACAGTTGTAAATGTTTCATTATGTGAGAATGATGCTAAAGGACATTTCAGTATAATCTAACCATAATATTTCCATATTTCTTCATACCAGGAGCCTACGGAATTGATAGAAGATACATGGGCAAATCGTTACGAGGTAGGCTGTGTAATTATACAAATGAAAGCAAAACACTCTGAGTTTAATGTTAGTATTAAATTCTCTCTGGCTCCTCTGTTCACCTCATCTAGATCTGGTGAAGGGCACACCATATCATGCCAGTTCCTGTTCCCTAAACAGCTCTGAAAATCCATATGCCACAATAAAGGACCCTCCCTTACTTACAACCAGAAACACTGAGTGTGGCTACGTGGAAATGAAGTCCCCAGCCCGACGGGATTCACCATACGCAGAGATCAGCAACAGCAGCCCCAACAATAACCGGAATGTCTATGAAGTTGGTGAGGTGCTTTAGTTAACCTATGTTTTGTTGTCATTGACAGTGCTTTACTGATTCCCTTACATTTGCAGTAACTGCATAATGCAGTGCTCTGTCCAGTTAGGGGTGAGGCTGTGGTCTCTAACCGGAAGGTCGGCGGTTCGCTCCCAGTCTACATAGAATTATCACCAATCCATTTGAACTTCTTTTAGCTCACAAATTCAAATCTCATCCACTGAGTTTCCACCTGCAGCAGGCAGATGTGCATGACAACAAATAAAACCTTTCTCTGTGTTTACTGTCCTTTAGAAGCATTGACAAAACTGATAACATGCCAGATTGTTTTCATGTTTTTTCTGTCCTTAACTGGAGAAATGAATTTAATAAAGCAACTTCTGGAGGCTTCATTTTGACAGAACTTGTAGTCCCCCCTGCTTGACCTCCCTGTGCTGAGCTAAACTTAACATATCCTGGACCTATCTCTGAACTAGATTTACACAGATGAATGAGTGTGATCACATTTTCCAAAATGTTGGACTGTTCCTTCAAGTTTACTCACCCCAACCCAACTCACCCGTCTTCAATTTCAGAGCCGTCTGTAAGCACCATCCCACCCACTGAAGACGGCCACACACAGTTTGGTCAGGATCCATACGATCTACCAAAAAACAGCCACATCCTCTCTCACTACGACGTCCTGCCAGTCAGAGAGAGTCCATCATCCGAGGTCAAAGAGCTGGACGGTGAATGATGGCTTAGTGACTCAGCGCAGAGTTCAAGTCTCCAGTCAACAGCTCCAGCATGGGATGTTCCACAAACAGACACACTTTATATCCACATCATCGTTTTACCTGTTTCTAGCTGTTATACTTTGACATTCTCAATGTCATTATGTTTCATGACTTCAAAGTGGGTATAAAAGTGTTTGAGGTACAGCTGCTGTATTTTATAACAATATTTAAACTGCAAGAAAGTCTTCGTAGGTCATTCCATATGTCTGGGAGGTAAAGTCTGATGAAGAATGCTTTAAACAAAACAGTCTGTGTGATGTTCTGTCAGACCTTTGCTAGCAGCAAACGGGTTCCGACTGTTCCAAACGGCCACATTCAAAAGCCAACAACCTCCAACAACCAGGTCATTTGCATATCTTCGCAAAGCAAAATGTACTATGAGGATAAAAAAAAAACACACATTCAGCTTGTGGCAAAGTATTTGAGGTGTTGAACTTGGTTGTACAAACAAAAAAAGGTCTGCCAACCTCTCATACCTCCATATATGTGACTAGCTGCCAAAAAGAGGGTTTAAATGTTGGATTATGTTATTCAGAAAGTTTGCAAATTGTCAGAGGCAGCCCCACCCAATTGCAATGTCAGAGAAGTGGTTTCAGATGCTGTCAAATGATCAGAGCACTTCATTTCAAGAATATCAAAAAAATTCCTTGATGGTGTTTGCGTATAACATTCAATACCAAGATCTCTATTTTGCTATCTATCTTTATTTTTGTAGTTACAGTATTAGAAAATGGCTAATGTGATTGAATATTAGCAGTTGTATCAATAATAGATTATTCTTGAAGTTGGAGAGGGTACCAGAGTTAAGCTGCTGACGGTGTTGATGTTTGCACATAGTAATGACAACAGTTGTAGTCAGTCAGTGTTGAAATAGTATTTAAGTTAACCAAAGTTGCAAGTGCCATTTAACGTTTTTATAAGTGTATTTGAAAGCCACGCAAATCTGTTTAATCCGAGTTGTACTGAGCCCATGTTTGTTTTTGGGTCATTTCTATAATTTCCTGTTCAATTTATCAAAAGATCATATTGAATATGTAGGAGACATTTTAGTTTATTTTCAAAAAAACTAAAACCACAATTCATAAATATTAATCATACAGCTTAGTGGTCATGATCTGTGATCTCTGTTGCCATTCACAGTTGCTCCAGTGAGCAGCATGTCCTTCCTGCCATCTCAAGCTGCCAATCAAAGAGCTACAGCTGAATCCTGCCTCTGTAATAAGTAGAGCCCATACAGCCACATTGGTTGAGGAGACTCTTGCACTACAACAAACAAGGTGAGGTTCATGACAGTAGCTGACCTTCCTTCCTATGGCACCTAGACTGAGATTTCAGAGATCCTAGAAGTGTATTGCAACCTTTGTAAACTCAGAAGTTACAAAACAATATACCAGAATAAAAATCAGCTTGTCACCATCTCCACCTCTATAGTGGTCAAGATAAGCAAGACCAGAGCCCTTGCAATAGTGGTATTTATATTTAAGGAAACGGAAGTCGAAGCAGCAGTTACATTTTGAGGCGGTCACTCTAAATTCTGTAAGAATTTGTGACAGGATAGATTTGGCAATTTTCACAGTCTCATTTTGGAACCACAGCCAAAGATATCGCCACGTTCCCCTCCTGTCAGAACAACGATTCAAAACTACCCTGCACAGTGGGACTCTCGCAAGCACATGCTTTTTATTTTGAACAGAAAATGTTAATCTGAGCAAACAAAAATGTGTCCCGTGTGCATTACATTATAAGCCTATTATATCGAGAGCCGTACGACAGAGCCCTTTTTATACGTTTCCTCACTTTTTCTTTTTTTTCTTGTTTGTTGACAGTCGATTGCTTGAAACTAAAGACTTCAAATTGATATTTGTATAAAGTCGTCCTGGCAGAATTTAAGCTACAGGTGGTGACACTAAACTTATGTGGTTCATGTGTTTCATTTAAAAAAATGTCAAATTGTGTAGCTTAATTTCCCTACACCTTAATATGTTTTCTGATGGCAACATAATCTTAATAAGATGTTTGTTCATTGTGTTGATATAGTGAATAATTTTGTGTTGCGTGCAAATGATCTGATCCATTATTTTTAACTGTGTAAAAGTATACAGAACATGTAGCATGGTGAAGACGAAAATGAAAAAACAATATCAGATGGAAATCCAACCAGTGCGTAGCTTATGTTGTTCAGAGGGCACTTGTAGCTCTTTCCACACAAGGAACCATAATCTGGGGCTTGATTTAACAACGAGCTTTACGAGAACTTTTACAAACTAATTTAGTCTACACCATCTAATAGGTAAAAGTGAGACTAGCTCCATTTTTGTAAGGAACATACAAACCTGTAACCTGGGGCTTCCCCTGATCTACACATTGGTACTTGGCTCTTCCTTATGCTGTAAATGCACTGTACTAAACAAACCGGGACATTTCAGATATGGCAAAAACAAAAGAAGTAAGCATTTGTGGGTCAGACAACAATAGAAATTGACTTATTATTGACCAGCCCATTTTAAATGGCTTCCTTTCACCGGATACCCATGAGGGCCTGGACGTGTTGGTTTGTGTTTTACACTGTTTTTCTTTTTGGTTGTTCAACTCCACACAATTGTAAAAATGATGGGTAAGACACATGTGCTTGACCATTCACTGTCAGCACTGCTATTACCCACTGAAGTGCCTGTACCTTGCATGCAGTTTCTGAGCAGTGTCCATATTTAGATCTGCAAATTGTGGAAACAAAAGCAAATATTTGACAATGTTATACTACATTCCATTACATTCAGTTTCAACAGTGTTACTTTGTCCGGTGAACATTCTGCACTGCTCTGTCTCTCTTTTTTTTGGTTGTCCTGCTGAATGCAGAGGTAACATCATGGTTATTGTGGTTGTCTCCTGACCAATGACGACTGACAAAACTTGACAATCCTAATTAGTATCAGGAGCATGTAGTAGTATAACCAGGTTTACTGGGAGCTGGCACTCAAAACAGGCAGTCAGTCCACCACCAGGATACATTACCTCCTGTGTGGAGCATTTCCACCACTGAATATATTTCTGCTGAACACGATATATATGCTGAGTCATCACATTAGTGAACATAGTGAAATCACCAGTTTAACACCAGTTTCAGTCATCTGCACATTAACATCTAGTCAATGACACAGCAGCTGATCTTTATTACTGTGCAGTTTATAGGGCTCAGCATGTGAAATGCAAGCTTAAGCTGGACTTTTGCTTTTTGAAAGGATCATTATAACCATTTACATTATTAATCTGTAAGAAACATTGTCATATTTCACATAAACTTGTTCAGAAAATGTCACGTATCAATTTTCAGTTTGATAGTTTGTGTCTTTTTATCTTTCCTGTATTCTGAATGGCCTGAAATAGCAGTCTTAAGCTATTCTGAGTCTATTTTAAATGCTTGTAAAATAATGTACATAATTTGATAAGTTCTGATGTAAAAATGTTGATATCACCCAATGTCTTATGTCTGCAAAATTGAAAACATGAACAAATATGGCATCTGGTTTATGTGTTTATGTAAAGAAAATGTGTACTTGGAAAATCTAGATACTGGATTACTTTTGTAATCTTTTCCATTTCTCTTCTGTCAGAATACTGTGGATTTGAAAAACCACTAAAGATGTTTGCTCTGAAGAGAATGTTTGAGTTTTTCTCAAACCTTCATTCCTCTATTTGGAAGATCATTTACATGTAAGCTTCCACTGCACTCTTCCAAATAGGGTGACGATGATTTGGCCACTGTCATGAGATTCTATCTATTATGCTTTTGTTCTGTTTTTTTATTTTATTCATTATAGAGCTGTTTGTGCGAATGCCCTGGAATAAAATTATAATATTATCAAATACTTTACCTTCTTATGGAATCTGTGAGCCCTAACCCACGACCTAGAACCCAACCTAACCCCATCCTATCCTCATTTTGTATCCTGTGTAAGCAGTATGCATTTAAAAAAAAGGAAAACAAATCACTCTTGAATGCCAACCAACTTACAGCAACTGCTCAAACTGAGTCAACCAGCACACAGGCAGATGGATAAAAGACCTACAAACCATCCACAGACTATCGGGCTGGAGTCACATCACTGACAAGCAGCACTAGAGCCTCAGGGGGTCCTCTCCTCACTGTATACACAGGACTGCACCGCACTCAAAGCACAGACACCATCATTAATTGCAGATGACACAATTGTGTTGGGACTGACACAACGGTGATGAGTCTGACTACAGGGGTGGAGTCTGCCAACAGTCTGACTGTTAATCAATCGACTGACCATTTAGACCTTTTACCATTTACACTTTTACAGTCAACATCTTCAAAAACATACACATGCATTAAAGCAAATGAAGTGATATTTGTGTTGTTTAGCAAGCTAACAAGCTTAAAACATTGTATTGAAACTGTTGCCAGGTTCAACCAGTCTGATTGTTGCTAGTTCCATTGTACAAATCGATATTCAAACAGTGGACTAAAGTATTTGGACTATGACCGTATCACGTCAATTTTAAAGCAACCAGCCGCATCTGTGGATGCAAGCTTTTGTGTTGATGTAAACTGGGAAATAAATCTGAGAAACCTCTCTCTGACAAACCTTAGACAGAGCTGCAAGTGAGGGGTTCCCTCTTCTAGGATGGATGAAAGGGGAAATAAAACAGAGCACATGAAAGCTCTGCAAAGAGTGATCAGCACAGAACAACCACCTAGCTACCACCTATTCACTCTGATGCCATCTGGGAGGCACTATAAGTCCATTGAATTTCAGACTTAACAGTGTTTATTCCATTTCCAACAAAGAACTGAACTGAAGTGAGATGTCAAATAAGTTGGAACTGTGTAATAATATCCTGGTTTGAGTGCCATATGTGCAATCACTGTATCTATATATGTCTATTTTTCATCTTTGATATTTACATTCATTTTTTTGTGTGCACTACTAAGATAACCTAAGTTTTGTTACACAGCTATGCTGTTCTGTTCTCAATAACATACAGAAATGAGACAGTTGTGATAACCAGCCAGGATGAACAACTCATTTCTAAAAAATAAATGGTTTGTTATTTGGATATTCATTAACGTGAGTATTTTAACCACCATTTCATTTTGCTGCATATATTATTTTACAGAATCTACTAATTAAAGTAAAAACAAGCCATAATGAGTACATTTCAGATTCAACACTTAGTGCTGCGTTAAAAAACATCTTCTCGGCACCTTTTTGTACACAAATGTCCACACAGCCTGGCACATATCACTATTATACTTTATACTCACTATCATATTAGCAACAACATCGACTTTCATGCATTATTCATTTTGGTGTAGTGTCACATTTAAAAAACACTACCCTCTCAGCACCTTCGTGGACAAAAATGGCCACTCCCTATAACATAAAATATATTAATATTTTTTTATTTTTAATTAACACATTTTTTTAAACAACATCCGTCCTGCTCATAAATACCAAATATTCACTCATGTGTATTATTTATAAATACCAAATATTCACTTGTGTTGATTATTTCAACAAATATCAGTTTGGGTACACAATACCACAATTTCATATTAAAAATGTTATTTTCCACATGATAATGAGATTTCTTTTGGAGGGGTAACACAGCCTGGCATATGTTACTGATAAGCATCAACATCAATGCTGTTAAGACAAATATGCCCCTCGCCTTCAGTCCTATTCAAAAATACCCCCCAAAGATTTTGTCTTTGAATCCTTTAAAATACCAGTTTGTTCAAGTAATACAATGTTTCATATGACAAATACTAGTGGGAAATATATGTATATTATATTTTTGGGATCAACAAACCTTGGATATGTCAATATCTATTATTTTCTATTATTATCTAATATTATATTATATATATAATATACTTGAAGCCAGGGCCTCAGAATAGAAGCATAAATATGTGGAATGCATGATTTTATGTTGTCATGGTAGAGGGATCAAAAAAAGCAGTTATAATGAGTTTCAGTTGGACCGTTTTTGCCTTGAAGGTGCCACAATGTTTTTTACACAGTGAAAAAATATCCTAGGAACATTTTCAAATTCCACAACAAATACACACAAAGGGCTCCAGAGTGAAATTGTGTACAAGTCCTCATTTGCCATTAGCTGCCTCAGACATGCCCCACCAGCCTGATCCTGATCTGCCCCTGGCAGTAACACTGCTCCAGGTAGTTTTGCTGCAGTGATTGCCTTCCAGGAGCTTCTCAGATCAAAATGAACTCTATTGTCTAAACACCGGAATATGCTCAACCATCCCTAATGATTTGAGATCTGTTCTTGCTTGTTGTTCAGCTGTTGTGGAATTTAGGTAAAGGGTGAATAAAAAGTGACTGTGACCAATGTCTCCGAGAAGTAGTCCACCATGAGATGACAAAATAAATCATTACTTTCCAACAGGCAAGGATCTTTCAAATTATATAATTATGATTCAATTGGTTATTGTAAATTATTCTCCCCTTCACACCAGGCTCAACTTACTGTGTGTGTGTGTGTGTGTGTGTGTGTGTGTGTGTGTGTGTGTGTGTGTGTGTGTGCTATCAGCTGCAGGTTTCCTGGAGCACAGTTGCAGTAGCAGCGGAGCAGTGTGGAAGTGTGTCACCGTGATCATGATGGTGAGCGTGGTGCTGAGCAGCCTCCTGGCAGCGCTGCTGGCTCTACTTTTCTACCAGAGGATAACGTATCCCTTCTTCTGGGTGGATTTGATTTACTACTTGAAACTTCGGAGCTACAGAAAGACTTCGCAGGCTCGTATGCAGCAGGGGATCATCACGTACCTCGACTGTTTCCTCTATCAGGCGAGAAGGAAGCCGAACAAACCCTTCATTATCTTCGAGGATCAGACCCTCACATACCAGGACGTGGACATCAGAAGTAACCGCTTTGCCAATGCGCTGCGGACGGAGACGTGTGTGAAGAAAGGAGACATTGTGGCTCAGTTGATGTGCAACGAACCGGACTTTGTGTGTGTGTGGTTGGGATTGTGTAAACTGGGCTGTGAAGTCGCTTTTCTCAACGTCAACATTAAAGCCAAGTCTCTGCTTCACTGCCTGCAGAGCTGCGGGGCGAGGACGCTCGTTGTTGGGGCAGGTAGTACACGTATCCTCACACGTTTCCTCACACGTTTCCTCACACGTTTCCTCACACGTATCCTCACACGTTTCCTCACACGCAAGGTGTTTAAAGTCATACCACAAACAGATGGCCCTGCAGAGCCGTACAAAACCTGTTTAGGGGCCTCCTTCCGGCCTGGTGTCAGGGTTCCCAGAATTTAATCAGCACACTGATTCTGAGAGTAAAAATGCACAATGTGTTTTACTAGACATTGATTCATAACACATTTTAAAGTTTGTTGTCTTTGTTAGCACTAATTCATTCTCGTAAAACTTTGTCATTTTCTTTTTTTTAATTATTTTTGTCCAATTGGCTATTTAGTTGCATTCGCTCCATATCAGCAATTAATACAAAACGTACAATTCCAAAGTAGCTCAAAAAAAGAAAGCTGTTTTCAAACATGACCCGCGTGTTCTCTGCACAGATGCATTCCCAACAGCAACAAATCCTCAGACGAGAGGTGGAGCAGAGGCAGAGGCAGGAAGTGACATGTGAACTCCACTGCGCTGTAATTTTCCTGAGAATACACAGACATCTTCGTCCGTGTCTTCTACGTGTGTGTCATTGCTTTTGAACAGGGGGATATTTGTTTTCTGTGTTTTAAATTTTTGCATCTGTGAATCCAGCGGGGATCCCCTGCTGTGTTCTCACATCGACTTCTCCTGAATTTCTTCAGACTTTACACTAGAAGGCCAGGCTCTCACTCCGACATTCATGTTCACACGTGCACCTCCTCCAGAGAAAATGTGGAGTAACTGCAGGGTTCAGTGCATATCTGAAAGCAGCCGTATTTTACATTAGAGATTACAAAATTGTTCACATAGGGTGCCATGACTTATTGAAGCACTGCTCACGTCTGGCATTAGAACACATATTGAAATAATTCAGGTTCATCGTGAAACTATAGCAGATCAGAGGGCATCAGCTGTAGGTGCTTCTTCAATGTGGCTAAGGACACATTCACATGCGTCCCACAGAACCTCTTCATATGACCTGAGTCATTGTGTCTTAGGTACCTCCATTTACACCACTACCTACAGCTGACCATTAGTGATTGGATAACTCAAGACACATCTATATAGTTTATAGAGCAAGTGTAATTAAGAAAAATAACCTAATACATAAAAACATAATTTAGTTTTCATATTTTAAAATATAGACAGGAGAAAATCAGAAAGAGCTGAAGAATGCACATTACAGTATGTATGCAGAACATGGGATATGAAATATGGATCAGTAAATGGCATAATACTGCTGAATGAAATGTGAGATACTTTAGTAAAAGCTCAAAATATGAATTCAAATTAGTAAAAGTACTTGAGAGTGTTTAGTCTTATATTACTTGATTATCACTTAATATACATTTGGATAGTTAAACTGAACCAACCATTATATTTTTATAGATTTAAAAATCTTTACTAGCTACAGTAGTACAGTATAGCTGTCAGATAGGTGGTAAAGTTAAAGGTAAACTGATTACTGACAGTTGACATGTGCAGAGCAAAGTACAATGTCATGACTTCTCCCCTCATTAATCACACTGAAAGTATGTATATGACTGGTGTGCAGTCCCTGAAGGTGAGGGATGTGATTATATTGACAAGGGGTGTAACGATTCTCCAAATCCACGATTTGCTGATGAGATTCTGTAGATTTTTGAGTCTCAGTTTTTGTTTTTGTGTTGTGTCGGGGGACATAGTTTCCCACGCTGCTGACTTGAACATTGGGTCTGCAATCTCACGGTTGTTATCTGTCTTGAACAAACCAAAGTTCCACCTCAGACATGTGTAACATGTTGACAATGAATAAGTGTAATGTGTAATACTGACAAAACATACAGCTGGCCCTGACTTTGAATAGAATGAAATAATGATTTACATGTGTGATAGCATTAACTGTGAAATTAGTTTTGTTACATTAGTTAGGTAATGTAAGCTCAGTAGGTTGCACCTGCAGCTGTGGCAGCGGGTTTGGGTATCACAAAACAAATCATTGCACTGCTACTTTTTAAATCACTTCCATGTCATGGTTTGACATGCAGTATATTCACATCTTTGAGTGAGGAGGACAAAGTAAGTGGAACCCCGTGGAGTGGAATTTAGTCTGATACAACATCTAAAATGACCTTTGAGTGGAATCTACAGCTCTCTGTCCATGTGTGTTTACTGGCTGTGGTTCTGTGTGATGAAGCAGTGCTGAGATAACCCAATGTGTCTGTTTATCCAGATTTGGTGCATTTGGTGGAGGAGGTGCTACCTGATTTGAAGAAGGACAAAATGGCCGTGTGGGTGGTAGATCACACATCGCCCTCTGAGGATGTCAACAGTTTATTGGATAAGGTGGAACACATGTCTGGAGAAACCTTAAGTGAACTTCCTAAAGTGGACATCATGTCAAACTTCCTCTTCATTTTCACTTCAGGCACTACAGGTACTGTGTGAGCTTTGTGTTATAACTCTACTTGAATACTTTAAGATGAAGTGACAGATGAATAAGATTATGTGAAAGGATCAAAAACTCCAGAAAAGCAAATAATAGACATTTAGGTGAAATTGTGTATTCAGCACTAATTGTAACTCCTTTTTTATTATAAATGAATTATTAAGTATTTTTAATTTAATTTAGAAATATCTGCAATCTCTACAACCTGTGAGATCAAGATATCAGATGTCGGTCTGTTGGTCTACCTCAAGTTCAGGTTCAGGATGTGCTTGATATTCCTCTCCTCCCTATTTTTCTCTGCTCACCCCAACAGGTCGAAGCAGATGATTGCCCACATTGAGTCTGGTTCTAGAGGTTTCTCCCTGTTAATGAGGGAGTTTTTCCTCCACAGTGCTGCTCATGGGGTTTCTCTATATTAAGATTAAGATTTTAAGGTCTTGACCTTCTATGTAAAGTGCCTTGAGATAATGTATATTATGATTTGGCACTATACAAATAAAATTGAATTGAATTGAATATCCTGAATGTATGAGTTGTCAGTGCAAGCTTGCAAGCTTGACATGTTGTTGGCTGATTACATTTGTATGTCTGCTATAGTAACAGCAGTCATACACCATTCTTTTCTAATATAAATACACAGTCCTACCAACATAAGTCTCATCAGACAGGGAGTAAGCAGCTTAATGGCCATGTCCAGAATATTGTTCTGGAACCACTTTCTAATGCAAACAAAGACTTCTTGGCAGTAGCAGAGTTTCGATCCATAAAAGACAGGCTGCTGCATCTGCACAAACCACCAGTAGCCACATTTGTTGGTCCAGCAACTATAAAAATGATTTGGCATAAAATGTTGTACATTCATGCTCCTGTAACCTAAAGAATAATTCAACACAACTAATACACGTTTAGTGCAAAATGTGACAAACAAACCTATCACAAGTAATTTTGTCTACATATTGGTGGGACTGTGCAAAATATATAAAGCTTGTGACTCAGTTCTGGTGCCCATCTGTTCCAGGTCTCTCTAAGGCAGCCCGCATAGGACACCTGAAAGCCATAGTGAGTATGGCCTTCTTCGCAGTGTGTGGAGCCACATCTGATGACATCATCTACATCACTCTTCCTCTTTACCACATGTCTGCTTCCCTGTTGGGCATTGGAGGATGCATAAACCTTGGTAAGAACGGCAGTACTTCAGTCAGTGTAGATTTTAAACTCAGTCTTTGGGGTCTTCACCCCCAGTGCCCACCAGAGACACTGCACTGTATTCCACCTTCAGACAGAAAACCTTGAAATGAAATTGTAATTAGGCTTTGCACACTTTTACATACATTTAGCACTTTTCTAGAGCAGCATTCCAGTGTAGTGTTTTCCCTCTGTTTTCAGTATTTATGATGGGCCAAGGCTGCACTCTGAAAACACTAATGATTGAATGGTAATTGGTCTGTATTTTTAAAACTCTTTTCTAGACTCAAAGTGCTTAATGGCACAGTTTTTTGCGATTCATCCATTCTCACACACATTCATACATGGGCAGTGAGACCAGCACAGCTGTCAGGGGTAATTTGGGGTTCAGTATCTTGCTCAAGGACACTTCACAAATGCTCGAGGAAATCAACATAAAGAAGCATTTCTGTTTTATAGGTCCATGAGGAATTCTCACTTCCTCACATTGCAGGAGAAAAGCCTGAAACAAAGAAAAGGAAATTTCTCGCTTCAGCTACATTTGTGAATTTTATGTTGACGTGTAGAAAAAGAGAAATATCTAAGTTTCTATTTGCATATTGTGTTACATTGCCGACTGCTTTCCATCTTCATAATATTTTCTCTTTTGGATCACAGGTGCAACTTGTGTGTTAAAAAAAAAGTTTTCTGCCAGTCAGTTTTGGAAGGACTGTGTGAAACACAATGTGACTGTGGTGCAGTACATTGGAGAGCTCTGTCGATACCTGGTCAATCATCCTGTGGTAAGTCTTCAAAACACAAATCTTTCTTTTTGGTAAATTATAATATTGAATTTCAAGCTTAAAGGTGCAGTTTAGGCCCCTAGAGGTCACTAATGGGTGAACCACAGCCCAGATCCGGAACAAGATACAGTCCTATCTGGACCCAAACCTACAACCAATAAATCATTGAGAATTGTCAAATTTTGACAGGACTTTTTTATTTTATCCACCGTAGCTTTTATATACTTTTCAGCACTGGTTAGTGGCCCAGGAAACTCACAGACCAATTGCATGCATTGCAAATCATTCACGTGATGCCACTCAGCCAATCAGATCTGTGAGTTCTGATAAGCATTCTATCCACAGTCGATGAGTGACATGAGGACGTATAGACAGTGAGTCAGAGAAAAGAAAGAAAAGTAACTTCACATGGTAAGCTCTGAAAAAAGATTCTTACATTTTTCCGGTGAGCAGGTGAAAACCAGTACCTTTAATTTTTTAAAAGCAGAAATCTTTCCCAAAATGTAGGACTATTCCTTTGTTAAGTTAAATGCTGCTTTGTCCTCTAGGTTCCAGAGGAGAGAGCTCACAGGGTCCGGCTGGCAGCAGGAAGTGGTCTCAGATCAGATGTTTGGAAGAAGTTTACCGAGCGCTTTAAAAGAATCAAGATCAGAGAGGGTTATGGCCTGACTGAGGCCAGCATCGGATTCCTCAACTACACAGATGAGGTCGGACCGATTGGGAGGGCAAGCTATTTCAACAAGGTCAGGAATAAAACATTTATTTCATTACTCCTCTTGAACTTTGACACAGATTTGTGTTTTTGCAATACAATGCATTCATAATTAAATGAAATAATAGATAAAAAGATGCTATTGCTTGCATTATGGGAAATGTCGGATCAGAAGGCTGAAAACGAGGTTAAATCGAACACTATGGCTGAACCAAAACAGCAAAGTTGTAGGTTGTAAAATAAAACATTTAGCTGAAATATTCTAAAAGGCTTTAGAAAGCTTATAATGTGGTAATAAGCCACTGCCATATTATACATATATTATGTATATACAGTATGTATATATTATACAATGTCCACTGAAATACCTGACCATCTCATTAAGAAGTACATGAAATAAATGTAAAAAAATGAGGAAATGTACAGTAAGTATAAAGTCAACAATGATATAACAGTAAACATCAATCAACAATATATGATATGTTTTTTTCTTTTCCAGCTTTCTATGCCATTTGAGCTCCTTCGATATGATCCCCAATCATATGAGCCGGTCAGAGCAGACTCTGGAATATGCATACGAGCACAAAAAGGTAAATGAATAGCATGCCAAGTCTTTTTACATGACAGTGATCTAGCCTGTCGGACATAGCTGTTTATACAGAAGAAGAGCTGATGTGTCCTCTAAATGTGCATTGTCTTTCTGTGCACAGGAGAGGCAGGGATCCTGGTAGCCCCTCTAACAGCTATGAACCAGTTTCTGGGCTATGCTGGGAACAAGGTCCAATCAGAGAAGAAGCTGCTCAGGAATGTGTTTAAAGCTGGGGACGTCTATTTCAACACTGGAGACCTACTGCTCCATGATCACAGGGACTTTCTGTACTTCCATGACCGCATCGGAGACACCTTCAGGTACCATGACAGTGTGTATGATCAAAATGATTTTTTTTAACTAAAAATGATGATACTCAATGTTTTATAGGGGTCATATTGCATACCATTAATCTGCCAGACTCAGTATCAGAATCAGCAGTGTGAAAGGCAAACTCCGGAGAAAGTCCAAATCTGTGGACAGTCTTCAGAAATTCATGTCTGAAAATGCCTTAAAGGGATAGTTCACTGAAAAATAAAAATTAATTTACTATCTACTCACTAAGTCATAACATGCCTCCAACGTGTCATCCTAGTGTCTGTAAGCCTTGACATTCATATTTGACTTGAAACGTCATTTACGCCATGTTTTAAGCCTAAAAGTCCACTACCGGAAGTAGTGATGCTAGCGGATGTAGCGATGCGCACCCCCACAGTGTGTGTGGTCTTCCATTGAGTCTGTGAGAACGTGAACGTGCCTCAGAGGAGGATATCAGAAGCCATTTAGGCTAAAAACATAGTTTAAACGACGCCATTGTGAGTCGATTATGAATGTTGGGTGTTTCCGACACTTGGATGACACCACACCAGCAATATGGAGGCATGTTATGTTCTTTTTCTGTTGTTTTGGGGTTTTTTTTGTCACTTTTACTTCAATTTTATTGGATCTGGCTGAAACACTGTTTACTCCAAGAGTGTTTTGCGGACTCAAACACTTCACCCACCCCTCCATCGGCATAGTGGGGAGTAGATAATCAGGGAATTTTCCCTTTTCACACGAACAATCCCTTCAACAGTGATACCTGCAGACAGTGAGTTACAGCAGCAGAGAGGACTGATGCTGACTCCTGTCTCATGTCGCTCTTCTCGAAATAGTATTTGATATCTTGTCAGATTCTCCAAGTCACATTTTATAAAGGGAATGTGGCGTGAGGGAGTTCTCTGCAATAACATATATATTACCAATATGTTTCTCCACATTATAAATTATCCATGGTTCAAGTCAAGTAATTTTCTTTTGCAATGTGTGAAACAAAGTGAGCATTTGGTGTTGTTGTAATTAGAGAGCGTCACAGACACGCCACAGACATAAATAAATGCTAACAACAGCGTCTGCTACTTGTGTATGCTATGGTGATTCTACACATAAGTATAAATCAGGTTTAGGTCTGTGTCCCGTGTTGTAGTGTTTTGCTCCCATTAAAATTGTGTTTCCCGTAGAACCTCCCCTTAACCACGATGACACAATGAGCCCAGCATGGAGCACAATGAGGCCTCAGACTGACCGACTGGCAGATAACCGTTACAATTGAAGTTATTGTTTAGCTGCATCTATTCTTGTGTCCTACAGGTGGAAAGGAGAGAACGTGTCCACCACCGAGGTGGCGGAGGTTTTAGGTCTTGTTGATTTTATCAAGGAGGCCAATGTCTATGGAGTCACTGTACCAGGTCTGTGGAATCTGTGTTACTCTGTAATTTATATTACTGCTAAAGTGGGTTTTTGTTTGCAGCGATCCTAGATCTTTAAACAATAAGGACTCTGGGGAAGAAGTCAAGTCAGTAACATGTATTGATGAGACATTAATGATGAGAGGAAAGACAATCTCCATGGGTCATGTGTTCCCCGATAAGCTAGACCAGAGATGTCAAACTCAAGGCCCGCGGGCCACTTCCGGCCCGTGTTATAATTATATCCGGCTCGCGATAAAATTATATCCACACCTTCACTCCATCTTATGGGTTTCCACAGCACAGAACCTAACCCCAAACATTAATGAACTGGCAGCCAAGAAAGGATACCAAACATCTGGCTCTGGCACATGGAAATAAAAGACCAATGTAGCGTATAAATATCTTTTCTTTTTGCACTTTCTCCAATATCCTGTCTATCCTGTTTAATAAATGTTGACCCTGTTTAGTCCTTGACGTAGTCCCAGTTTTTAATTTTGGCCCTCTCTGTGATTGAGTTTGACACCACTGATCTAGACCTACAGCAGCTTAACTAAGAGCAGATGTGAGGCAGCTCTAACTATAAGCTTTATCAAAAAGGATGATTTTAAGCTGCATATTAAACATAGAAAGTGTGTCTACCTCCCGAACTGAAACTGGAAGATGATTCTAGTGGAGAGGAGCTCACGTTAGAATATGCTGCTGCTCAAGTAAGCAAAGTGGAATCACAATTTTTTGTACTAAACATAATTTTGTCAGGTATATTTCCATGTTATAAAGTCTCGGATATTAACTAATTCAATTGCGGAAGTCCTGCAGAGTATAGACCATTCACAATTTTGGATTCTTCGGAACAAGATGAGCCATTTATCTGCCTGAGTTTGGGTTTAAACATGTTTTCTTATTAAAAAAAGGTCTGTGAAGCGAGTTCCAGGATAGGAAGCTCATATTTAGCCATTTAAATCTGTTCATTTTCACTTTCACATACAGCAACATATCATTGATGCAGCTCTTAAACAGACAATCTGGATTTGTCTCCATTGCAAACCCATGTAGCCATAACTTTTAAATAAAAACCTGGTTTAACAGAACCAACACTGTAGTAAAAGTCATGTTTTATTATGTTTTTGAGAAACACTGAAGATGTCCTCAAAAGAAAATTTCCAGCAGGTCCTTCCACTTTGCAATTCCATGACATCACAGACTAATTAAAGTAAGGCCATTGAGGCATTGCAGTTGGTTTCCTCTGATTTATTCAGTAGAACTTAATGTATTTTCTCAATCTGTGTATGCAGGATATGAAGGCCGAGCAGGTATGGCAGCTGTTGTCTTAAAACATGAACACAAATTTAATGGAACAGAACTCTACAACAGTCTAGTCCGAGCACTTCCTGCATATGCCTGGCCATGGTTTCTCAGAATACAGGTGAGTCATATTCATTGCCTTAACTATATATAGTTATAGTTATATATAGTTATTTAGTTCATTTGTTTTTCTGCCTGTTTTCAGACCTCTCTGGATGTGACTGAGACGTTCAAACAGCAGAAGACAAAGCTGGTCCAGGACGGCTTTAATCCTGATGTCACCAAGGACCCTCTGTATTTCTTAGATGTCTCTCAGAAGGACTACATTCTCCTGACTGCATCTACACATCAAGATATTGTGTCAGGAAAGATCATTTTATAGATATTTTAAGAGCATTTACTTTAAGAGTACTGATCAACTATGTTATGGACACATTTCCATTGGTCTGTACTGTAAACTTTATTTTTTAGAGTTTTAAAATAAGAGTTAACAGATGGAATTGTTCAGTATTTCAAGGGGAAATTATTTTATTAATAGTAAAAAAAAAAGTAATTTTTTATATATATTGGCTACAGCCCTCTTGACCTCAACCACAAAGAGAGGGTCTTTAGTATATTGGAGCATTGTCTCTTTCTTATCTTTTTACTATTGTTTTTATGTAATTACATTAATTGTTAGCGACAGACCTATATTCACATACAAATTGTCCGTTGAAATGCTAACAAAGTTAAGAATCTGTGTGTGTATGTAGTAGTAGTAGTAGTAAGTGATCATGCTCTGTCCTGGTTGAGTTTCATTGACTGTGCTAAAACAAAGAAGAAATACAAACCAAAACACTGCAAAATCAGTGTGATTGGAATAATTCAGTGAGTGAAAACAGTATTAAGTTCAAATGAGAACCTCAGAGAAACAGTTTATCGTATCACTGTTGTTGTACTGATGGTGCCTTGCTGAATTTATAATAAGAGATATTACACTCCCTGAGTGTTTTTGAATCTCCCTTTATTAGTGACCCACCATTTAGGTAACATTCACACTGGCAATGAACATTATGTGAATGATTTTAATTTATGGTGGAGACCTCATTTAATTATTTGTGCTATTAACATTTTCAATTCCTGGGCGGATTCTCCTTTTCTTAAATTCCCTAAATTTCAAATTCAAAAGACTATATTGTCATTGCACAGTCGTACTTCATACACTGGCACAACGAAATTGTGGTTTACTACTACTTTGAGTAAATTCTAAAGGAAAATAGAGTTTAAAGACTGATGTCTTGAACTAGTTTCACCAGAATCACTAAGTGTATTATTATATATGATTACCCATAACAAAAATGTTTAAATATGTCTTTTCTGACATATTTTCTCAAAATGTAATTAAAACAAGGACACACAGATGGTGACAAGATAAATATTACTGATTTTAATGAAATTAGATTGTTAGATATTTATTCATTTTATAACAGCTAGAAATAATAAATAGAGCAAGTTATACAAATCGATTGAACTGACTTTTTTTTCCAGGTTTTTACTGTAGTATAGTTTGAATGAACAATAGTTTTTATCGTCCTGTAATTCACATCGGTAAGTAACCATGCGCATTTATAGCTGTCTCATACAGCATATTGTGGTCTATTGGACATTTCACTTAATTTGTCAATCTTTTAACCAAAACTGTTCCATGTATTTAAAAGTAAATACCATGGGAAGTTTTTTTTATGCTTTATTGACAAACAGCAAAATTAACAGTTATCAAGACGAGCATAACAATACATGAAGCATGAATAATGCCAGGGGATCCTGACGAGCAGAAATGAATCAGTGAAAATATTATAGAGGGCACATAAATTAAAATAAATAGTATTAAATAGATATATGGTTTGACTTCATATAAAAACATTTAAAAGGTGGTTATAATTAGAAAGTTAAGATTTGTGGATATGTCATCTAGCAGCTAGTATGATCAAATGAATGTAATATTGGTTTGTTTTGGAGGGGGGTGTAGCAAAGCCAGTTGACAAAAGGAGGAGTCCACATCAATGTCCTGTTTATCTCTGTAGAAAAAGTTTGGAGGGATAAAAACGATGACTCAGTTTGACATGCCACTTCCTTGGTCTTATTCACAATTAAATATCAAGAGGGAAGGCACCAAATGTGCTTCCAGTCCCCGATCACAACTTCCTCCAATAGGAAATTACATTTGGAGTAGAGACCATCCGGGAGACGGCCGCAGACGTGGCAGCATGTGACGTCATCAAAGAGGGTCGGCGGGTCATTGATGGCAGCAGTGAATCGCGTTAGTGCAGCTAGCAGGTGAGTGGAGAGGCAGGAACATATATCAAGCTATATCACAGACGGTCGAAGATACAGATACGAACGACACTTCGTCCATATTGAAATGTTGATGCTGCTCCAGCTGAGAGAGAGAGAGCGTGCGTGTACACGTGTACAGCTGAGCTGTGGCGTGAGCTGTGCGGTGAAGGAAGCTAGCAGCAAACTGTTCCAAACTACGGCACGGACATGGTTTGAAGAACTGTGCCGTAAAGACGGTGTGAGGTGAAACCGCTGTGGTGTGCCGTTCTTTACCAGACTGCACAGAGCAGATGCAGATCAAACTTAGTTGGTGACATTTGAATCAGGAAGCAGCGAGTGAGGTGGCAGTGTTGTGTATGTGGTGAGACGTAGAACAGGAGTTTCTGCTTGTTGTGTTAAAGCATCTGAACAGGAGTGCTGGTGCCCCCGGAGAGCCCTGAGGGTTCATTGTGCTGGTACTTAACCCTGTTTGTCAGCCTGTCCCATTGTTATGATATCCTATTCAGCTTTATGCAACCAAAGAGTGTAAATCCTGGAAGTGTGTGTTAGCAAAGCACTGGTTTGACTCCCGAAGTGTAACTTGGTCACCTCAGCTCTGGGTATCAGATTGCCTTATTGATTGCAGTGTACCTCACTGCATGGAACTTATTGGAATCCTTTTTAAGTAAGGTGATATTAATGCCAAGGATTTTTGTTGCACTAAATACTTACCTTGTGCGATTTAATTCTTGTAACTGATTGTGGCATCACCACATTTTATATAAACATTGAAGAAACCATTCAATGTAAGTCTAGGGCTAATACCTAATCTGCTTCACAAGGTTTATTGGTTTGATGCATCATTAGGAACTGTCTGCAGGCTTTAGAACTGATGCAAGAAATAACAAGTTGAACACATCTTAATTCATCGTATCTTATTACAGCTAGAATCAGGGTTGAATTGAAGGAATAACGTATAATAAAGAAGATGATGGAAGAGAGTGGGATTGAGACTACGCCTCCTGCCAGTCCTACCCCTCCTCCGACTGTGGCTGCCACAGTCTGCGCTCCACCTATGACCATGGGTAAGACCTGACCTATCAAGTGTTGCAGTGGATTACCTGCCATCCTTTGTCACGTCATTTGTTGTAGTTCATATAACATCACAATGAAAGACACATTGTTGAGACAAATTTCAGATTGGTAATCCATGTCAATTGTTATGAACATGGTATTCTTATATCCCAGAGTATAAAATAGGCAACAACAAAAACACAACATTGGTGTTGAGATGAAATCCACCAATATTTATTTAAATATAGAAATGTGGATTTTAAGAAGAAGAAAATGTGAATGTAGCTGTTTCTTTAAAGAACAAAAAAAATAATAATTGTGGGTTTTCAACCTGCTTGCCTTGCATTGAAAGTCTGTTTTCCACAGGCAGCCCCTGCAATTTGCTTCAAGGTAAAATGTTACTTGGAATGACTTTAGCTATGGAGAAGCAGGATAATTAATCTGACTTTTGTGTAAATATAATCCAGTTAAACTTAAATCTGGATATGGAAACCATTTTATTCCTGGGTGTAAATGTAGCCCTTTTTAATTTCAGGTTTTTCCAGCCCTCTGTCCCTCCCAGGCACCAGCTCCATCTCTATCGGATCCACCTCAGTCTCCACCACTCTCCCTCCTGTTCCATCCCTCCCTCCCTTTAGCAGCCCAATGACTGCACCCCCTTCACTCTCCTCCCATTTTCCCCCTCCCTCCACACTCACCTCACCCTTCCCAAGTCACTCACCTTTCCCTCCCTCCACCTCCCCCTCTTTTCCACCTATGGTCTCCCCCATCAGACCACTTCACGCCTCAGCTCCCGGTGGGTCAGCCCCTCCTGTAGGTCCTCCCATATCTAGCTTCTCCATGAGCGCAGGTTATGATATCACACGTGGCCACGCTGGTCGAACACCACAGACACCATTGATGCCAACTTTCTCAAGTTCTACTGCCATGCCTGGTAAGAGCCACACCTGTTTTAACACACGGTTTGCATTGTCAACATGTGGAACAAGGCTACTTTTTAAGCAACTATATTGACACAATGGAGAACAGTAGATATGTAGTTGAGTCAACAGATAACATTACATTAGCAAATATTAGGAATATTAAAAGATTATTTTATTTTACCTGGCATAGGATGTTGAATTATGCTTTCAACCAAATAAATCCACTGTGTGCAAACTTGTCTTTTTAGGTCTCTGCACCTACAAAACACTTCACACATTGTACAGACCAATACCATGATACTGACCTATTGGTTAGTTTGTGAGGAAAACAATATCTCAGGAACACCATGAAGGAATTTGACTCAAGGATGAACTGATTATAACTAGGTTGATCAAAGGTTTCTGTTTCTATGACCTAACAACACATGTTTTTGGACATAATTCCATAACATAACTACATATTACGAGGCATGTATCCACCAGGTGGTACTTCTGTGTTCACTCCTTAAGATTGGTATTGTCGGCAAAAATCCACGATTGGCCGAGCTCTAGCCCTCTCTAATTGAAAGTTGATACATTTATGTGGATTTGTTTTATAGAATTGTCCCAACATATGTTCTAGGTGTCGTATCCAACGCCATGGTTCAGCAGCCAACCATGACAGGGGGATTAAATACTGGATCTCCCATAACTTTCCCAGACGAGCAGGAAGATCCCAGAGTTTCTGGAGACATCAGCAGTGGTGGGGGCATCTGGGGCTTCATTAAGGTAATCCCACTCAATCAAAGGTGGTTTCCAAATACATTCAGCATCTCTGGCTGGAAGCAGCACCAATCACAAGATAGCAGCACCAATTAATAATAAGAAGCTGTTTCTAAATAACCTTATTTTTCATCGTACTTGAACTCTGGCAAACAGTGTTCACTACCTCTGATCCTTTTTCACCTTAGTCTAGAAGCGCTCTAGTTTACTCCAGGTTATTACTTATTATATGTATAATTACATAGTTTTTTTCCTTTTTTCAGTAAGAACAAATTATGGTAAGATAAATTATATGATATGATGCAAAAAAAACAAAATATGTTGTTGTTTTACTTTTTTTACTTATTTGGAGGTTAATTTGATTTTAGATTAATATGTACTGTGAAAGTGATGAATGTGCATTAACCATTTCTCAAAGCTTTGCTCTGTGTTCTGACAGTCACTTCTTATGCTTTGTCTGTGTGTCCTCAGGGAGTAGCAGGCAACACTGTAGTAAAATCAGTCCTGGACAAAACCAAACACTCTGTGGAGTCCATGATCACCACTCTGGATCCAGGCATGGCTCCGTACATCAGTAAGTAATCCTGCTCTCATCATCACTATATTCCTCCATAATGTTAGAGCATTTGACTAAATGTCACTCTATTGTTGCTCCCCAGAGTCTGGTGGGGACATTGACATCGTGGTGACTTCAGATAAGGAAGTGAATGTAGAGGCAGTCAGAGATGCCTTCCAGGAGGTTTTTGGGATGGCCATGGTCACTGGAGAGCCCGGTCAGTCCAACATCGCACCACAGCCAGTGGGCTATGCAGCCGGTGTCAAGGTTAGTCCGCTGCTAATACTCCAACCTGCTTTTTACAGTTCTTTAGACATTTCTATAAATAGCAGAGAGTGCAGAATTACTGTAGACGATTTCTATTTTAGCAGGTTAATACTTCATCATACTAGATGAAGTATGATAATATACATATTGCAGATCAGATCATATCAGTTCAAATCCAAACCTTTTCTTTTAAATAAGCTCATAAGTATTTGTGATCTGATATACGTATATGGCTTTCCAGTTCAATCAGGAAAAAGACTGAATGTGTTAAACTTTTGTTTATAACAGAAGCAACAAGAAAATCTTCAGAAATAATTTTACTGAATGTAGGGCCACTAACAATTGGTTTCATCATTAATTAGTTTTATTATTACTCATGAATAAGAAAGTGTTAGATTTAAGAATTTTATGTTGAGACAAAAAAGTTTTATTCAGAATTATGTCTGTCACCTCTGGGCTCATCCAGAGGCCCAGGACAGTCACTATGCTGTCTAAAGACTACCACCTCTGTATGCTTCCCTTTTGACATAACGGGAAGTTAACTTTCCAATGGACAATAGGCCATTCAAAGATGATATTCATGCCTTATCAGAATCTACAGTCATCCAACTCTCTGGCCTGTCGTTCAGTTCTGACAAGCAATGAAGTGTCTTTGGTTTCAGTCATGCACACGCTCTGTCTGTGTTCATGCATGCAGGGGGCTCAGGAGCGAATTGACAGCCTACGACGTACTGGTGTGATCCATGAGAAACAGCCAGTGGTCTCATTGGAAAGCTTCATCGCTGAACTCTTTCCTGACAAGTAAGAAGGAAACATTTGACACACACACACACACACACACACA